TATGTATATAGAAGCTATATAAATAGCTAGAACGTAAGCTGGGGAAGTGTGGAGTCTTATATAAATTCTGTATCGATTGATATGTTTCAATTGAAGAATTAAACGAAAGGAATTGCATGTAATTAAACAGGTTCATGTTTATTCCTATGTAGTGTGGGGTCAAGCTAGTGTCCCACGCTAGGGTTAGGTGTCTTAAGGACCCCAAAACTATATCTGCATGTGTTTCGGTAGGGAGACCGGCCACTTATGCAGTTACTAACGACCACCGCTAGCTACGGCGCCCTTCACGAATCCAACTACTTGCAACTAGATGCAAAACTAAGCAGGCAGCATGTTCTCAAGACTGACATTGAAAAGTGTTACGCAGACGTACGTCTATGTAATGAACCTTAGCTGTCAGCCGCCTACTATTGATATTGTGATATGATGAGTCTCAGTTACGTCACATGTAAACAGTTTCGATACTGCACTTGGGACTATGACGGGCCGAAAAAAATTCTTTAGTCATATGAGAGATAGGTGATCTGTTAGCTCGATCGAGAGAAGGGTATATATTGTTGGGCTGCTTAGCTGACATGTAGAGGTACCCATCTCCTGGGTCCTAGATGTATTTCTGTGTTGCAGGGTGTGGTGCTTTTCTCTTATGTATCAACCACATGTAGTACGCACATGTACTTGGCCCTACTTGGAGGATTATTGGGAGGAAGTCGTGACTTGCATATTATGGGTTTTGATGTTGGTCTAATCTAAACATTAATTGGGAGGTTAGACAGCTTTCCTCTATTGTCGTAACAAACAATTCAGCAGACTCCATTGAATTGGATGCAAATTGCAGGTTTCGATCTAAGAGGCACGTGGCCAGGAAATAGTAGAGTTCTAAGGTCATTGTGCATAGGCCCAACTTTGGTTTGCAATTGTTCCTTAATGACTTATTAAGTGAAATAGTTGCGCAATTGCAATTGGCGAGAAGCTACAACATGGCTGAAGTCCAATAGAATATCATCTCGTCTAGTAAAGCTCACGAATTTCTAAACAAAATGCTTTCTCACTAGCAGGTAAAGCACTGATATTCAGTTTAAAGCGGAGAGTGTGTGCTTTTTGGCATTGTGTTTACCACTGGCGGTAACTTACTAGCGGTCAACTAAAGGCTTTAAACACCAATGAGCGCCAAAAACCAAGGATGTCTGTGTATAAGCGCTGAATCCCAGTACTTCATACTATCTAGCGGCAAATCCCTTTGGGGTCGATCGATTACGGCCCGGCCCCCATTTTATGATTAGCTCGGGTTGGCCAACCACAGCTAAGCCCATCGATAACTGATCTATATCTAATAAGTATATAGATATACCGATATGCAATGTGTTATTTAAAGGTTTTGATTGGCCAGGTTTGAGGGGTTTTCTTTTTCTCTATCAAATATGTTTGTCAGTAAGTAGATATTCTATCAAATATGTTGGAGTTAGTAGATATTCTATCAAATATGTTTGAGTCAGCCAGTAGATATTGGTTCCAACATACCTTGAGTCAACCAAATAGTATATCAGATACGTGCACAGGGCATCTTGGGGTTTCAGTGATCTTAAGCGTTGGTAAACTGATATTGTTTAAGCCATAACAGTTCCTACTCCGGCCAAAGGCCGGAAAATGCTTGTAGCTATGTAATGTGGCTTTTTGCTTGGTAGCATCTGTCTTTTTTTGACCGAGTAGGTAGGCCAGCAGTCGATTGGTTCTCCAGGATCCAACGCATGACTGGTTGACCATGCAGAGCACGGGAGCGAGAATGAAGAATGGAGGTGAGTTGATTGATCACATTGCATTTCCGGCGCCACAGTCCCCGCTCCAGACATTCAGGAGACTTACTTGGACAAGACCTATAGTAATGCCAGTGCTATTATATAATTATCTTATGCCGGGAGCGATGGCCGGACGGCTCGTTTATGTAAAACACGAGTGAGATTTTATGATTAAACAACGAAATTGATCTGTCTTGAAAAATCCCAAATAATTTGTCTCAAAGCGCCTGCTCTTTGGCTTAAAATTGGGCTTTACAGATATCTACGATTAATAAAGAGTAATCAAAAAAAAAGAGAAACCAAGAAAAACGAAACTCACTAGACTGGATACATATATGACAGTTGGGTATTTATCAGAGAAAGAGAGTGTATGTGCTTTCCCTTAACATCTAAAAAGCAGTTGAACACCGAGACAGGGAAGGAAAATAGAATACAACGCTACAATCAAACAGAGGTCAACTCGGCATAATCTTAATATATAAACATCGTCACACAGCTGCGTCGCCACTGGACGAGCATGAGCCAAAAAGAAAAACTCTAGTAAATGATTGAAATATGGTAAACTACTTATAGCTGTGAGAAGACTTGCTTGCTCGGGTATAGTTAGGCTGAACGGAAGACGAAAATGCAGAACAATCGGATGATCAATCAAGATCAAAGAAAAACTACCGCCGATATAAACAAATTACGCAGAAATAATTTAAAAACTCTGATGTTGAGACAATAATTCGTAAAAGTAGCATATAATTATATCTTAGATAGTTTTCGTCCGTCTCCTTCTTGTATCGATCTATTTTCTCCTCTGCTGTGGAGGGTGACGGTGCTGTCATTAAGATTGGAGATTTTTATATAATAAAATAATGCAGCTATCCGATGATGATCGTAATTCGTACTCTCGTCTCTCAGAGATAATGAAATGAAGGTAGATGTCGTATCACTGTATCGTCTTGGGTCGTTTATTCGTATAGTTGAAATATAGGTCGTTACACCATGGTCTGAGGCCTGACTAGTAAATTCCCAGTTCCAAATTCGCTTTGAGAACCCCTAATATTTACTAGCCTCCCGCTTCCTTCATCAAATTCTCGACTATCCCCAGTAGGACTTATAACTAGGGTTGGGGTTCTAGACATTCTCATCATCGATATGTGTTCTCGAAAAGCATTTCCCGGAAAACTAGCGCTTCGGGGTGTCATGTCGTAGTCTGGTATTGGCGGGCTGCTTTGTCTTTCAATTACTGGCGGATGAATCCGTACAGCATCGAGAACCTCCTCCATTTCGACCTCAATCCCAGCAGTTTTGCAATCTGCAATAGTAATATCGGCGGGCGTGAATATTCCCAACCCTATGGTTGCATCTGTGTTCTGTTCACATTCGATTGCAGCTAGAGTGCAAGCCGCCCTCTGAGTTGCACAAACATCTGATGTATCCCACGTGTCAAAAGGATCAACCTCAGCCCCAAGCCCTGTGATCGGAGGAGTTTGAATGACGTATAGAACAGTTGGATTATGAAGTTTTGAGTGGGTAGGAGTTGGACGCAGAACAAAGGGATTGTGGCTATTGTCTCCAAGAGTTGTAGAAGAAGAGAAATTGTGTGAAGTAAAATCAACTGGCCCAGGAGGCTTTTCTATGACCGTTTCTGACGCTGATTCGAGTCTTTCGGTTCCATCGGATGGGCGAGGGCAGTTAAATGCTTGTAGTGTCCAAAATATTGCCTGAAAAACAAGGGAAACAACAAATAATGAAAACCCCGCAATAACCATCGGGTCTCTGTCACGGCCGAACATAGTATTTGGCATTGCCTTCGGACGAAAGCTCATCCACCCTAATGCGAGAGTGGAAAGAACAACAGCCAGGGCAGTTGAGACAACCCCACCTAACAGATATAGCCGTTTTCCGGGGGGGAATATAGTGAAAAGAAGTATAAGAATACATGTTGTAATGTCGAATGCTGCAGCTGCGGTGCAGGACGACGAGAGGACGGAACGGGCTGAGATAGTAGAGGCGGAATACAGGATGAAGAATACAGTTGTGCTCACTGTGAGCACTATGGTGATAGAGCCCAGGAGACGAATTATGTGTCTCGAGGGGCGGAAAGACATGTCGTTTAACGGGTAGCCGGTGGTGAGGGTATATATGGAAACGGGAGCAGACCAGAGTGGCCTGTCTCTCTGTCTCCTTTTTCCGGTAGAAGCTGATGCCTATGGTCCGGGTGGTTGCAAAGTGGTGAAGGGAGTAAAGGGGTTATTGTTGTTGGTTGATTAGAGTTAGGTTTACTTGAAGATTTGGTTTTGGCGTGCAGCATTGATTTGGTGATGATCATTAAACGTTTGCCAGAAATTTGTACATCAAGGACTTCAAGACAACAAAATCAACGTGTGACGTGGAGAAACGTTGTGGGGTTCTCGTGTCAATATTGTGGCTTGATCCGTCAGGCAGTATTTGCTGGGCGAGAAAGAACCAGGGTATTACGCCATGAAGCCGCCGTTAGATATGATACGACCCGGATCTCGGGAGAGGAGATCTCGGACGATAGGTAGAGGAGGGAGGGAGGGGCGAAATGAAATGAGAATGAGAGGGAATGGGGCAGGGGTAGGGGTGATGATGGTAGGAGGTGAGGATGAGAGGAAAGGTGAAGTAGATAATTCCCCTTCGGGGAGCGCTACATGTTATGGTGTTTGTTTTGTTTTATTCGGGGATTTTCCGAGCTTTCCGTCCGTATGCGGTCGATAGTTGACGGGGAACACTGATGGACCAAAACAAAACAACAACGCCAGGAAATCCCCCCGTGCGCACGGGCCAGTTCCAATGCATGCACAGGCGACGATCTAATCCTAACACATCCAATTCTTAACATGAAATAAAACATCCCAAAATATTTACTTGCGTTGCTGTAAGTGATGATCATGCAGTCCAGATCTTCTCTGAACAAACAGAGCCCCGCGGTCTCGTGCTGAACTCTTAGTGGTCTCCCGTCTTAGTAATAGTATCGCACCCTAGTGGGAGCCTACATTTTTGTGTTACCCAAGAGCCAGCAAGAGCTTCTCGCTTCTTTGCCTCTCTCCACATCCACCAACACTCCCACCCCACCACTATCATCGTCTTTCTTCATCGTCTCCATCTCCATCCATCTTCCATCTACCTCCCATCTAACAAAAGCCGTCTGGCTAAATCCCAATAAATAATCTAAAGTACTGTTCTTTTATCAACATGAAGCTCACTTTTAAGGTGGGTCATAGCCGTTGCCCCTCCCCCACTTGTCATTTCTCGAATCTTTCGAGTTTATCAACGCAACATAACGCAATACTGACCGCTTTCTTTTCTAATAGGATCTCAAACAGCAAAAGTTCCTCATTGATGCCGAGCCGTCTGATACTGTTCGTTTTAGCTCGTTTTAGCTCACTTACGTTTATACATGCGGATACTAACTGGGATATGATAGATCGGTCAGCTCAAGGAAAAAATCACTGCCGAGAAGGGATGGGATGCCTCTCTCCAGAAGCTCATCTATTCAGGTGCTTATTACATTCGCTTTATACTTTAGACATTTTGAAGGTATTTTACAGGCTAACGGACCTTCTATCACAAGGCAAAATCTTGCAAGATGATAAAACAGTAGAATCCTACAATATCGAGGAGAAAGGCTTCGTAGTCTGCATGGTATCAAAGGTAATTTGCCGTGTATAGCCTTTGGCCCCCTTTTGGACGGCGACTGATGAAGGTGGATGATAGCCCAAGGCCACACCTGCAGCAGCTTCAAGCTCTAAGGCCGCAGCTACCCCAGCTAAAGTTCCTTCAACACCTGCGCAACCCACTGTGCCAGCTACCCTTTTTGCGCCAGCTCAATCTGCTGCTGCTGGTTCCTCCAGTTCTGCTGTTCCGGAGACCCCAACACCCGCCGGCTCAGGTTCTGCAGCCCCCTCCAACTTCAATGATCCTTCAGCGCTTGCTATGGGAGGAGACGGCGAGTCTGCTATTCAAAATATGATTGCAATGGGATTTGAGAGGAGTGAGGCTGAAAGAGCTATGAGAGCTGCATTCTTCAACCCAGACAGAGCTGTGGATTATCTCCTCAACGTATGTATTCGTACTTTGATATCTTTCATTTCTGCGGCAGAGGCTTAGATTGACTTGTTGCAGGGTATTCCTGATCATGTCCAGCAAGAGAGACAACCTCAGTCACCAGATGCTCGTCCCGCCGCTCAAGCACCATCTGCCCCACGATCGGCTGCTCCAGCTGGAGGAGATGCATCGGCAGAACCTTCAAATCCAGAGAACATCAACTTGTTTGAAGCTGCTGCTGCTGCTGCTAGCCAGCGCTCTGGAGGTGGTGCTCGTGGTGGAGCTGGAGCTGGAGGACTTGGAAATCTTGATTTCCTCCGCAACAACCCGCAGTTTCAACAGCTTCGCCAAGTTGTTCAACAGCAACCACAAATGCTCGAGCCAATCTTGCAACAAGTTGGGTCAGGAAACCCTCAACTCGCTGCTTTAATCAGTCAGAATCCGGATGCATTCTTGCAGTTGCTTAGTGAAGACCCTGACGATGGTGAGGGTGCACCTTTGCCGCCGGGTGCTCAGCAGATCGCGGTCACTCCTGAAGAGAGAGATGCTATTGAGAGAGTATGTTATACGCCCCCGTCCCAGTCTACAAATTTACCCAATTAGAATCCCTATAATTAGACGCTAATATCCGGTTTAGCTATGCCGTCTGGGTTTTGACAGAGACATGGTAATTCAAGCGTACTTCGCTTGTGATAAAAACGAAGAGCTTGCAGCCAACTTCTTGTTTGAGCAGCCTGACGATGATATGGAGCCGTAGACATTTTTCATTAGGTCTTTGTTCGTTAGTTTTCTTGTTTTTCTTCTTTCTCTTTTCTATACCGATAAGCCAGATGGACCGGACGGAGCGGTAGCCGGTCAAGATGAGTAGCTAGGCGAGAATAAAAATGAAGGTTGTTTGATGGAAAGCAGGAATTGGATTCGTCGGTCGGTGGATGATGAGACACGAAATCCGTAATTATAAGTCTCTGAAATTGTTTTTATCTGTCCTAATCACATTCACGACTTTTGTCATGACTTGATTTGGTCCATCTTATTATGTTTTACCTCCATATCTTTTATAATTTGTTCTTGCAGGCGTTATGTGGGGGGCGGGAAGTAAATGAAACCATGAAATGTTTCGCGCATCTGCACTGCATGAGGGCACATATTGATATATCTCATTGAATGTTTGAAACTTTTTCTGAATGTATAAAGTTTAATGACCATGTGTGTAACCACGAACACATGTGCACGATTTTTAAACCCTTCAAATCCGGGAGGGTTTTATGATTTAATGAGAGTATGTAACTTTTTATCAACCCGAGCCCTTCCTGTGAATTTGGGATAACAAAGGTGTTTATCTTTGGTACCTCATGTACTGGAGAGTCTTTTGAGATGCGAGTGATGAACCATGAATCACCAGAAACTGTATATTCAACTAGAAAAACCTTAGTAATAAGCTACGATGAGACTTCTGACATTGTTCTAGCCCCTGCTCCCCAAGTATTTGGTACTTTCGGTTCTATTTATTTGAGTTTTTCATATTAAGAACATGCGATTTCAGAGAAGACGTATATCTTAAATAATCCTATTTTGGTACGCGCTCTTCTAGACGATATGATGTTCTCCAGGAGAGAATGAAGAGATGAAAGTGGAGAAATAACAATTGAATATATGCTTTAAAGCCAGCTTGCTGATATATACATGTAGTTCTATATTTGCTACCAAAAGGCCCTGCTCGAGGCAGGAAACTGCGCCGAAGCTTCCAGAGAACGGGTGATAGTTCATCCGCAGCCAGGATATCATAGGTATAGATGCCCCAGTGGGCCCTTTACGCATACAACAACCCTGTAACTGCCTATCAATGTCCACAGCCCTTTTTATAGCTTGTCCCCAGCTCTACCGTCACGAATGTACCTGGCGACCACGTGCATGACAGCTTCTCATGAAACGTGCAAAAAATATAACAACCAAAACCGCGGAATCAAGTTATGTGCTCTCAGAGATTCAACTATACCATACCACACTTGTCCTTGTCCAACATCCAGACCTCTCAACCTCATATCTTGCGACTACAACCAACCCAAACCACCGGAAAACAAGATTCTCAACTGAACCCAGAATGTGAAGCCCGGCTGAAGTGCGCCAAGTCTGGCTTGGCATAGTCCCATTTCTTCTTATGAGGCTCATGCTTACCCAGGAATTTGTCCATCACGCTGTTACAAGGCTGCAGCAGAATAATGTTTATACGTGCGTGACTGTCCCGATAGGGAGCCGGAGAGAGAGAACTTGTGGGGATTTTACAGTACGGCAACAAGGAGGGAGGGAGGGAGATCGGTATTGTGCTTATCAGCCCATATAAAACTTTCATAGGAGAGAAGAATAACACCCCGCCACGCGCAGTCAAGCTCATCGGGAGGGAGGAGGAGAGGGAGGAGGGGCGTTTGACAGGGGCATAGGGACGAAACGCTAGCGCCCTTCTTGTCGTTCTTCATTGGGACTCGTCTGGTCGTCTACAAAGCTTCAAGCCCGCCATTTCACCAAACCCGACGTTTTGCTTAGAATCACAGATTCTGCAGAAGCACCCACCTCTTCCAACCCCAAGTGGTCCTCGAATCGAGCGAAATTCCACCCACGCAACAGCCAGAATTGACGGGAGTATTCAGTTCTCCCCTTTCTCCCTTTTCGCCTGAGCTCTGGTCCCTCTTTTGCCACATTTTTCTTCATAGATATTATAATTTTTATTCTTTTAACACTACTACGGCGCTCTTGATTCTGATTTCTTGAAATCAATTTTTTTTGTTGCCAGTGCAGTGCCACCAGAGAAGAGTTTTTTTCCCAAGGGTCTTCAAGAAACACGGATACACCGCGGCTATAGTGTGAAGGGATTATTGTTCAAAGATTCGGACACCAAGCGCAGAGTATCGTGCGTGCTTGTTTGTGTGCGTGAGGCGGTGTTTTAAAGTTGGAACAGGAGGAATTTCTGTTTTTTTTTTTGTCGAGGTTCGGACGGAGGAGAGACGGAGTGAGGGCCACCAAGCAAGCGTGACCTAACAGACAGCCTGGGACCCACGAAACCACGACAATTAACCACCACCACTGCTACTAGTAACCACCAACAACAACACTTTTTTTTTTTACTAGTCATCATAAATACCCCTTGATCTATATAACAGCAATACGCGAAAACATGAAGAGGGAAAGGACTAGCACAAGCCGCAGTCCTAGCAGCGACGGCGCGGAAACCGCTATGGGGGAGATCAAGCTCGAGGATTCTCCTCGAGACATCGTTGCTGGAGGAAAGATATTGAGGATGGGAGATGAGATCAAGGAGGAAAAGAAGAAAGGGAACGGTAGTTCCAAGGCGTCTTCGGCTTCACCTGCACATGGGAATACTCCTTCTTCATCACCGACTAAGGGCGAGGAGGACAAGGGGTCGCCGGCCGAGGCGGAAACTGGCGATTCACAGAAGCCAAAGCTGTTGCGGGCACCATCGTCGACCAAAGTGCTCAAGGAGAAGAAGCCGCCGGCTTTGTTCAACGATTATCCGGACAGTACTGAGGAGGCGACATCTACATTCGCCGTCATAGATGCGTGCATCTACAGTAATAAACATATCGGAGACTCTGGACAGGATGGCGATGGAATGTCTTGCGAGTGTAGAGAAGAGTGGGGTAAGACCATTTCATTCATCCATTCCACGCACTTTAGAGAACTTTCCCTCTCCCCTTTTACCAGGTCCTAGAGCTACTGGTTCTTGGCTGTTTTTTCGGTAGATTTTTTTTTGTTCGGTTTCGCTGACGCGCCGCCACAGATGGGACACATAATGTTGCCTGCGGCGAAAATTCCGATTGTATCAATCGAATGACCTCCATGGAATGCACACAAGATGATTCCTCTTGCGGCTCCGATTGTCAGAACAAGCGCTTCCAAAAACGCCAGTACGCAAATGTTTCGGTCATCAAAACCGAGAAAAAGGGATTCGGGCTCCGAGCAAATGTTGACATCCCGATCAACACCTTCCTCTACGAATACGTTGGCGAAGTGATTGATGAAGGCAAATTCCGTAGAAGAACGCACAAATATTTCCAGGAAGGAATTAAACACTTTTATTTCATGTCACTCGGAAAGAACGAATTCATCGACGCCACCAAAAAAGGTGGCCTGGCTCGTTTCTGCAACCACTCTTGCAATCCAAACTGCTTCATAGACAAGTGGGTCGTGGGTGACAAGCTGCGAATGGGTATCTTTTCGAAGAGAGATATCATTGCGGGCGAGGAACTGGTATTTGATTACAATGTCGACCGATATGGCGCCGAACCCCAAACCTGCTTCTGCCAAGAACCCAACTGTCTGGGGTACATCGGGGGCAAAACTCAAACCGACGCAGCTCCCAAACTTTCTCATAATATTATCGAAGCTCTTGGTCTCGAGGATTCAGAGGACTGGGTAACTGCCACAGCCAAGAAGGGTAGACGACCAAAGAAGACCGGAGAAGATGACGATGACTACACTGAGAGTGGCACACCTGGCACCAGACCAATGAGCGAAGCAGATGTCACCAAAGTCATGTCTTCACTCCTTCACTGCAAGGAGAAATGGATTATCACCAAACTCCTTGACCGCATCATCGCAAGTGAGGACGATGCTGTGTTCGCTCGCATTGTCAAGATGCACGGTTACCAAATCCTTGGGAGGATTATCCAGGACACTAAAGACGATATGAACGTCGTTTTAACTGCTCTTCGAATCCTTTTCAGGTTCCCTCGTATCACAAAGAATAAAATCACACAGTCCAAAATCGAAACCATAGTTGTAGAATTCACCACGGTTGAAGACGAACAGGTTCGTGAAGCATCAAACACTCTCATACAGGAGTGGAGTTCTCTTGAGACAGGCTTCCGTATCCCCCGGCGCGCGCCAACTTCTACAAACGACAAAGAGCGAAACAATGCATACAATGACCGTGATAACAGAGATTCGCGGTCTAAATCAGGCACTCCACCACCCGATCGGACTGCAACCCCGCCCACTCGCCCGCGCCCGCAACCCCGGGAGAAATCTTTCCAAAGCCAACCTCCTCGCGGGCCTCGAGCAGATAGAGCTCAGTATAGCAATAACAATGACAACAAGCCGCGACGAGATATTCCTTGGGGCTGGCACAAGGCTTGGCACGATCAACAATTATATTACTACTCAAACGATGGCAGGACAAGATGGGATATGCCAACTGAGCCATGTCGGTCGGACGATAGACCTTTGAAACCGCCTCCACCTCCGCTAAGGCATGGCGAACTTCCTCTTGACCCGAAAAGAAATGCGCTGCAGGCAATCATAGACTCGATTACGCAGAACATTGACGAGAAAAAGGTGATGAAGGTGGAGAAAGCTCCCGAAGAAACCGAAAAAAAAGTTGTTGAAGTTACGGAACAGCAAAAGAGACGGAGTAGTAAGGATAGAGAGAGGAAAGAAAAGGAGAGGAGAGAAAAGGTATATGACGACGATAAGACGAAGAATATTTTGATGAAGACTGTGAGTAGTCTATTTCCTTGATGGCTGGATAAATACTGATTATGTTGTTCTTAGTTTGCCAAAGTTGTTGCAAACGCTGTCAGTAAATACACAAATGAGCTTGGCGGCCGTGATGCAGTCAAAAAACACGCTAAAGATGTACGTCTCTATTCGCACATATATTAAAGCAGCTTGGCCCTTACTCACAATTTATCTATAGATCACGGAAATCCTCGTTAAAAAGGAGATGAAAGATGGACGCAAAATTGTCAACCCTCACCTTCTGCTTGAGTCCGAAAAACGCAGGGGCAAAGTAAAGATTTTCGTCAAACAGTACATCGAGAAAGTGATACACCATATCCAGAAAGAAAAGGAAAACAAGGCCAAACGCGACCAACATCGAAAGGATCGAAAGGAACGTTCTCATGGCAGTAGCAGTTCTGACGGCAAGGGTAAAGACAAAGCCCAAAACCGTGCTGAAGGGGCGGAGAGTGTAGACTCGCAAATGATGGATATCGTCCAGGAGATGAGCCCGATTGGCGGAAGTGTTTCTCCAACGAGGGGAACACAGACACCTCCCTGCTTGACCCCAGGGAAGAGAAGGAGAGATGATTCCGATGACGGCGATGAAAGTGGGAGGGGCTATGAAAGTGAGGAGAGGCAGAGCCCGAAGAGAGCTAAACCTACGAGCCCAAGAAGAGACATGACACCTCCTGCAAATGTAACTACTACAGAGTTCATGGCAGGTGGGGGTGGGGTGTATGTCTGCTAACTTTGGTTAAGAGAACGTTGCTGTTGAAGTGTCAGGTGATAATAGGGATATGCTCTGTCGCTGGCGGGCTTTGTCCTGTTATTTCTTTTTCGGGAATTTTTCCATGGTAGGGGATAGCGATGATCCGGTGCAATACTCTCCGTCTAACCACATCTTCCCTTTATTAACTAGCTGTCTTTATCTTCTTTGTCTTTCCTTGAGGAGTTGTCGCTTTTTCTTTCTTTTTTTCTGGCAAGCAAGGGGAATCAACTGTATAATTAACACTTTTCTGCATCTCTTTCCAATTTGTTTTTGTTTCTGCCGGAGCGTTCTTATTTGAGCACTCTACTTCTTTTCTTTCTTGTCCAAAATGGTTCTACTTTTCTTATTACTATATCTTTTCTTTTATGGGGGGAGTTAGGAAATCGTTTTCATTTTCGCCATCTGGATTGTTTTCGTTTTCTGGGTATGAATTCTTATCCATTTCTATCCACCGTACTTATTTTCTTTTTCTTTCGTACAGGTGGCGGTAGCTACGCGTGGCTTCTATGGTCAAGTGAATATCGGTGTTGTGGATGAGTAGGCGTCAGGGTATGTTGTGTACAGATAGTATGTACGTTCTCGTTTGAAGCCCTTTACTTTTTTGTTTTTTATTTGGCCAGATCGATGGACAGGGAGGGCAGGGTAGTCAGTCAATCAGTAGATATGGAGGAATTATTTATGGGGTTACTTCAAAAGTTACAATCGGTTTTTTAGTGGGTTTTCTGGGTAGCACTGGGTGCTGGCCGACATGATGTGGAGAAAAGCAGCACAGCGTGGTTTGGTGCATGCGGTATCACTCGGTCGCGCTTCTAACGCAACGAGGTATCCTATACGGGGGAGGGGTTTCCTTGCACTGCATCGATTCTTATCTTTTTGTCATACGCATGTAGGATGACATGAGGGGAACTGTGTCGTGTGTCGACCTTTCGCCTGTCGGATAAAAGTTGTCAGAACAATCATTACTTCAAATGCAGTCTGCAGCGGCGAAGGGAAGATATACTTCAATTAAGAGTTATAAATAAGTTTGCGTTAAGTGGTGACCAGCCGCAGAGATGACTGCTCGGGTAAAGAGTTTACTGTATCCATATTACGGAATCCGAGTCTCTTTTGTATACTATAGTATACAAAACAGGGGAATGTACAGTTACTCTCCAACGGATTTTCATGAGATGCGAAGAAGATGGCTAGTACATATAGCCTATGTGATGAGTAGTAATCACTAGAGCGTCGCTACAATATTGTGTTTCCGCTCCCGCCCCCGCGATTCGCGAAATTGTAGTTCTGAGCGCCACTAATGGCACGATGATTCACAACAGGGTTTTAGGGACATAAACGCTTGAAATTATCAACTTCACAGAAATATAATTATTACCTCAACCCACATCCACCACCTTACCAGAGGGCATCAACATCGGGCCATGCAATATACTCTGGTTGAAAGTTATTGAACTCTGAATCATGAACGCATACGGGTTATGTACTTCTGCTATAGGATCTGCTCAGTGAACGACGGAGACCTATAAACCGAGCTATCTGGTTTTTGGTTCCTTGATAGGGTACCCCCACCGAGCGGAGCCCGGGCCGAGTCGTGGGCATAAACGGAAGACCTCCGGATTTTTGCCAAGCTTAGGCAGCAGCACGACCTCAGGTTTCGACTTCGCGCTAGGAGTTCTGGATATCTTCATCTACAATGCAGTCTAAACAAATAGAGGTTTTAACGAGAGGATAAGATAGAGGTAAAAGCCTTACCTCCTGCCTTACTCGGCCAGCGAAGATTTTATATTTCCCATAAAGAGGCTGCCAGCAGTTTCTCTGGAGAGGTTGCAAAATGAATGCACAAACGTGTAATATGAGTACTTACGTATGCCACTATATGTATGATGGTGAAGCCACACTCAGTCAAGGCAGATATTGGAGTAACGTGTCAAGTGCTTTCTTTTGACTTTGACCAATGTCCGGCCAGCCGTATTCATCTTCCCCAACTATCCCTTGCTGTGGGTAGTAGAAGAAGCTTTGACATAAATCTTCGCCTCCGTCTTTTTGCACAAGGCTGAATCCCCAGCTAAACCTCATAGCCGATAGGTCACCGAATCAAGAAGTAACTTGCTGTAGTAAAAACAAGGCATTGAAAATAGGCTGCAGCCGATGTGGGCCATCAGAGAACTCGGGAATCTCTCAAATGGTTTGCTGCCCCGTGCACTCAGAGATAGTTAATAGGGAAAAGCTAACTGTACGATGTCTCAAGTGTCATACGCATATATAAAAACCGCAAAGGGGGCTCTGGCCTTGGGCGGATGCAGCCACAGTGGGGCACTCGACCAGATGTCTAAATATTCAAGATTATAAGATGTCACTGTTCTGCTATATAACATGAAATTCTTGTAATCTCGTTCAAAAAGTCATCAAGCTTGTTTATATAGATATGTACATTTACCCAATCCTACAAAAGAAAATGCCAATAATAAGTAAAGAACGCTGCAGAACTCTAAAGCAAATATATCTTAGTTATCATATGGTACTGCCACCACATATATCATTGTCATCCGGATCCATAGACCTCCCCGTAGACTTCCCTTCTTTCCTGAGAAGATGCAATACCCTGATAAAACTACCAATAGCCATGATTAACGGTAACAACTGTCCTGTCGATCCCAACTCATTTACCCCAAGGATATGATTCCATCGAATCATCAACTCCACAGTCAACATAAACGAGATTAAGGAACCACTTAGTATCACCATGCTCGTGCTCTCAAGGCCCTTCTCCGCCTTTGACCTTGATGTGTTTTCTGGCTCTATCTCTGACTGTCCAAAACTGGCGACGGCTAAGTCGATTTCTTCATTGTGGCTCGTAGGGAAGCAACATAGCTTATGTGCGATGGGCCAAAATATAACCATCGAATGAATTATGCCCATGAGAACAAAAACGGCCTTCATAAACGTGCGCAGCCAAGTGTAGAGGTTAACCTTGGCAAAGAAGTAGGCCCATGTGCTACATCCTGGGTGCTTCATATGGTCCATCCCCGTGAAAAAGAACCACAGTCCATACACACAGAACCCTGTACTCAGGACAAACCGAATCAGTCCACCGATGTTCGACGCTTTGTGATATGCGAACTTCTTTGCCTTGAAGATGCCGCCATCTTCTTTGGCGTCGCCCGAGCACACCCCTCCCATGCAGAAGATAAGCATCATGTACGCTTCAACTGCATAGAGATCGCTTCCTTTGGTAATTGTAATAAAGAGGAGACCGGCGAACATGGCGGCTTGGAAGCAGTTGTTTACACCACGTACGCTCTGGGCTTCGGTGGGGAGGAACCCGTATGCGACGGCTGAGGTGACCCATTGCAAGTACACGCCGATACGAATTCCGAGGCCATAGGTGTTGTCGTCACCGCTGAAGCCGCATTCATTATCTACCGGAGAGGATGCTTGGGCCTGACGCTGCTGGAGCTGCGGTGGGGCGGGGGCGGGGGCGGCAAGCGCGAGGAGAGGGAGGAGCGATAAAAGCCCAAGAATGACACAGGGAAGTTCCCGACGACTGAATAAGGTTCTGACCATAGCTGTATCTGTACTTGTCCGAGCTTCTTGATAACCGTTCGGGGGGTAGGAAGGTATTTATTGACATTTCCCGAGCTCTTGGAGGGGGTACGAAGGCTGCGCCTAGTTCTCGGCGAGATATCCCGCTTCACTCTCCTGCAGCTGGGACTTTGTGTGCACCTATCATGGGTGGTTTCCATGCAGGTTTTGAGCTTCTTTTTTTTTCTGGGTTGATTGACATTGTGACACTTCATTGGGTTGATCCCTGCACTGCCCCCCGAGAGAAGCGAGGCGGCATCATCAGACATCACTCGGGCTCGGCGATCGCTGCTGTGCTTGTGGAGTAAGGGCGTCCCGTACTCTATTGCTATAGCTAGCGAGAGCTTGCGCTAGTGGGGATAAATAAAAGCTGGGAAATCTTACAAGCGGTGCCAATATAGTTAAAGCTCACTACAGAATGGTTATGGATACTTTGAACAACAAACAGGCAAAATAAATGAAAGAGAAAAAACAAAAACCAACTCCTCCAGGTATTCACAAACATCAACGCCGCGTTTTCCTCCCCCTTTCAAATCAGTACCTCCCCACCGCTCCAACTCCCCCTTCACACACAGACGAAAGCAACAAATTAAAAATAAGGGCAGATTAAAAGGTATATAGGGACGTAAGCAATCATCCTGTACATGCATCATCTCATCTTAGTCATTAGGTTTATCGGTGGGACTACGTCTAGGTTTGTCGCCAAATATCTTTGGTAGCTTGGTGAGGTTAAGCTTAAATTTGTTCGTCGTTTCGTCCAAGGCGGGGCTTACCTCTGGAGCCGGGGTTTTCTGTGCGGGGGGGGCCGTGGGTGTTGTGGAAGGCGTGACTCTCTTTGCCGTCTGATTAGCTTTGGCGGGGACCGAGATGGGGGCGGGCGCGTTATGCAAATCCGAACCTCTGTGACTCCCCCGGCCTTTACTTCCAGGCATTGACGGCGAAGAAGAACCACGCCTTTCTATCTGCGCGGCCTTTTGAACGGCGGCAGGGGTGTTGGGTACGCTCAGGCTCTTTGTACGCCCAGCAACAGTTGGAGGGAGGGAAGCAACAAGCTCGTTGGGACCCGGTGTGGGAGGGGGGTTTCTTGACTTTGGGGCAGTAGCAGGTTGCCGGGCAGTTGGTTCTGGAGTCGGAAGAGGGGTTCGATTAAGGGTTGCAAGGCCCCTGGCACGAACGAGTGCTCTCGCTTGATTCTCCAGGAGTATCCTCGCTTGCTCCTCTTGTTGTTTCTTCTCCCGTTTTAGACGCTCCTTCTCTTGTTGTAACTGCTCCTCCCGTCGCTCCTTCTCTTGTTGTAGCTGTTCCTCTCGTCGCTCCATCTCTTGTTGTAGCTGCTCCTCTCGTTGTAGCTGCATATCTGTTTCGTTAAAGGGGTTGGGGGGGATTATTGCAGCCCCCAGATCCGTTCTACGATACTCAGCATCAGCCTTGCGTGCGTTATCATCTAGAGTTTTATTGCTATTGCGTTGTTCTTGTTCCGCCCGGAGCAGCTGGTCACTTTCGCGGATCTCTTCTTCTGTTAACGTGTCCTCAATGTCCTGGAAGGTCTCCGTGTTTTCAATCGCTAGGATGCAATCAACCCTACGAGGCGAACTGGTTAGGCTAATTTTCATCTGATATTTTGGGGAGTGGAGGCTTACTGGTCCATCATTTTATCTAGAACTAGAGGATCCTTCCCTTTGAACCCTGAGATATCCTCCTTCTGAACAACGTATGGATCCCTAAAGTACGCCTTTGCACACCTGGTAGCATTGCGGATGGGATCCTGTTGATCGACAACCCTAATTTGCAATTGGTTCTTGAAGAGGACTGTATTTCGCACTATCTCCTCGAACGTCCCAGAAGCATGGAACCTGTACACGAACACGTGCTTCTTTTGTCCAATTCTGTAGGCTCTGCCGATAGCCTGCTCCTCCCACATAGGCGACCACTTGAAGTCAAAGATGATGACCCTGTTTGCGCCTGGAAGATTTAGGCCCAACCCGCCAGCCTCGGTGGAGATGAGCCCAACTTGAATGTCCTTTTCGTTGAATTGCTTTGTGAGCCTTTGCCGCGAGCCCATGGGTGTTTTTCCGTCGATCTTTATGAAGGAGACACCCCACGATTTCAAAGTTTTCTCAAGGAAGCCAAGGGTTAGAGTGCTGTGAGTGAATATCAGCGTCTTATCTTTCGCGTTGGTCGCATTGTCGATGATAATCTTGAGCAGGTACATCTTGTGCGAGTGTTCAACTGCCATTGGGTCTTGTACCGTGTTCATGAGTGCCCTCGCCCATGGATACGGTTTATTGGTCGCGCTTAGAAGATCATTTACATCGTCGTCCATATCGTCGACGTCAATGACGGAGGTCTCATCATCCGAGGCTGAGGGTGGTGTGGGGGGTTTCAAAGGCACTAACGCCTGGTTTTTGCCCTCTCGCGTGTCCAAGGTCTCAACGAACGAAAGAGGGTGGTTGCAAATCAAGGAGAGAAGGTGAACAGCGTCGAAGAATTTTCGTCCAAGCTTTGCCGCTCCCTCTCCCGGCATCTGTCCCGTGGTCGTCGGGTCATTGACGAAATTTGTGTACATCTCCCACTGCAACTGGGTCAGCGGCACTTTGATCAGAAATTCGGTCTTTCCCGGTAGTTCCTGCTCGATGGCGCTGATATCCATTCTGTGGACTTTGGGGCCAATGTCTTTCTTGAGAACCCTAAGCATCTTTAAACACCTCCGCTTGTCCCAGTGACTGCTGTCTGCGTACAAACCCGCCGCAATCGGCGCGACATATTTCCCCTCAAACTCCCTCCTTGGGCCTAGAAAACCGGGATCAATCCATTCGATCATGGACCAATACTCTATTAGGTTATTGGATAATGGAGAACCCGTCATCGCAATTCTAGACATTGACCTAAATCCACGTGCAGCATCCGAGATCTTCGTGTTTTGGTTCTTCAACTGATGGGCTTCGTCCGCAATAATGATATTTGGCCCATCAAGGAGCATCGTTTTGATCTGCTGATGTATCTCCTCTGGATATGGGGGTGAATTGAGTATAAAATTGCGAAAGCCCTGGTACCCTATGAGCAGGACTCCTCCATTCTCGTACCACTCCTGTATATTTAATACTCGTCTCTCTGGTGGCGTTACTATCGAATCTGCCCTCCAGATCCTCCCTATGTTGCTAAAATCTACTTCTCCGGTTGGTGATGTCGGCAGCCAGCGGTAAAATTCATCCCACCAGTTATCAATCAGTCCCGGAGGACTGAGGATCAAGGTCTTTGATTCTCTTAGATGCTCAGGTATTTGCTCATAAGTCTTCTTATCGTTCGATGCGGCTGCTGTCGCGATCGTATAAAGTAGTGTAATGACCTGCAACGTTTTCCCCAGTCCCATGGTATGAGCCAGTAGCGCACCTCTATTCTGCCCCGCCTGGATCAATTGTTGCCACATAAACAAGATCCCGTCGATCTGGTGTTTCTTCAAATAATCTGTGAAGGAATTGTCCAGAAAGATGTCGTTGTCTTTGGCGTACTTACCCAAGTTGACAGGAATCTTTTTTGGATCCCGAGGAATTCCGGCATTTCTCTTTCTCGCTGCCCTTTCTCTATCCTGCCTCTGCTTCTCCTTTTTATTCAAGCGATCACGCTGTTCTTTCGAATTGGGGTCTATTACAACCTCCTTCAGCTTCTTTAGGCCGGTGCTACTACTGGGCGCGACATTGACTTCCGAGTCGTTAAGATCCACTGTCCGCCTAAAGGAACCAAGAAACGGTTAGCAAGGACGCGCGACTGTGCATAGAGAAGGTCGCTAGAGCATACCCAACACCAGATTTTCTCCTCTTCTCCTTCGGCGGCGGGGGCGGCGGGGGCGGGGGCGATGACGGAGGAGCAGTAACATCTTCTTCCAGACAGTACGGCGCCAGAGCATTCTTCAACAGGCCCATATATTTTCCAAATTTGTCTTTGTCAGTCAGGCGATCCACCTCGTTCTTCTTGAGCTTCTGCGAAGTGTCAGTAATTCCCAGCGCCCAGGAAACATAGATAGTCGAGATCATTCTGAATATCTGCGCGTTATATCTATCGGTCTCATTTAGCGCCTCGAACTTCTTCTTGGGCCACAAGCGCACATACTCATCTAAACCCGGCACATCCTTGAACTTGGTCCGGTAGAGTTGTTGGGCGACGCTCATCATCGAGTCGTATGACTCTGAAGGGGTGAATTGCTCAAGCCGGTACCACATCGCTGACCTCTCGTGCTGCTCGGTCTCTTGGACCAGTCTCTCGAGTAATTCCTGCGGCTTCTCTGCTTTCTCGTCATCGTCGTCGTCAAAATTTTGAGCCAGGCCCAAGCGCTGTCTTTTCTCGCACCTGGCCTTCCACGCGCCCCGCTTCGGTGGCGGGTCATCATCCTCGCCGGTAAGGTCAATGATCGGTATATCTTTCTTTAGAGCAGTCGGCACAGCGCTCCGAGGTTTCTGCGTGGATACGGGTTCGGCCTTGACCTTTGCGGAGCCGGAATCAGAGGCAGAATCCGGCACGACCCTGCCTTTTCCTTTGTCCAGCGTCGTGGTGCCTTCCTCTATCTCGCCTTCCTCTATCTCGCTCTCTTCAATGCTATCTTCGTCGCCCATTCCGCCCATGTGCGCGTCTACGTCATCTCTAATAACTTGTCCTTCCTCGTCGTCACTAAATAGCCGGACCGCCCCCGTCCGCCTGGGTGGTCGTCGGCGTGGGGAGTCGGTGCTTTCTCCGTCCGAGTCGATTATCTCGGCCTCGGCCTCGGCCGCCTTTCGCGCCAGCTCTTCCAGAACCTCAGTCTCGCCCTCGACTTCGACTGCGACGCCATTTACCATGTCCTTCACGTTGTCATCAACAATAAAGCCGTCGAGGCCTTCGTCGTCGTCACTATCGTATGCGTCAGTGGTGCTTCCGAGGCTTTCGCCGTCTTCGTCGTCAGCATCCTCGTCTCCATCGGCCATCTCGACATCGCCGTCTTGAGCGTTTTGAGCGTTTTGAGTGACGGCCTTTGCTCTCGTAGCTGTCTCCGGCCTTGGCGGCGCCTTCTTCCTCTCCATCAACCCCACGATCCACTTGTTGAGCTCCCGCTCAGCAATACTGGGCTCCATGACCTTCACCTGCTTCTTCACCAGCGCCTTCTGCGTCCACCCCACACCCACAATCTCAGCCTTCATCTTCTCCAGCCTCTCCGTCAGCTCCTTGACATACCCCCTCGCATCCCTCGCCGTCCGCTTCCGCTCCCGCCTCTTCTTCGCCCAGCAGTACATGCGCCACGCCTTCGCCTCCTGCCGCGGCAGCTCGCGCTTGCGCCAGTTACCAATAACCGCCTGCTCGCCCTCGTTGAGCACCTCGAGAATCTCCTCCGCGCTCAGCGCAACCTGGTTGCTCCTCCCCAGCGGCCGGCCCAGCGGCGCGCCGCCGTTCTCGGACGTCAGCTCCCCCCACGTCTCGAGCGAGTACTCGCCCTCGGAGCCCGAGTCGCCGAGCGTCGGCAGCTCGGTGTCGTTATCGATGTTCTGCCACTTGAGCAGGTAGTCCCAGTCGCCGGCGGCGCCGTCCTTGGCGGCGGTGGCATCCTTCTTGTCCGCGGCGAAGCGGACCATCTGCACGTCGGAGGTCGGCTGCGATGCCTGCGGCGCTTCGTCCCATGGTAGGCTTACGGTGGCGGTGGTTTCCCTGGTGACTTTGCAGGAGCCGTCGGGCTGCGCGGTGAACACGGTGATGGACTGGTGGTGGTGCTTCAGCACCAGGGATGAGTGGTAGGGCTTGATGCCGTGGCGGACGTGGCCGTTGTGTGTGGTTTCGGAGGTCTCGGCGCTGCGTAGGAGGTGGCGGATTTGGCGGTCGATGTAGAGTTGGTGGCCGCGCGGGGTGGGCTTATGGACTGTGGATGTGTGTTAGTACACGTAGGTTTGGTATGTAGTGGGGTTTAGATAGTGGGTTTGCTCTTTACATGAGAGGGGAGGGAGGGGGGGGGGGGTAGCAATATGTACTATCTTCTTGGGAAAGAACAAAGAAAGGAAGAAGGAGCTCTAGCTGCCAGATATACAACTCCTCTGTCCCAGAGGGGACAAATAGGACAGATCAAACAGAGTAAATAGTAAACAATAAACACTGTCCAAAACCAAAAAAAAAAGGGCAAAATCCCCAAAAACCCAAAAAAAAAAAAAAAAAAAAAAAAAAAGCACAAATCAAAAAGCACAATCAAAAAGCACAATTAAAAAGCACAAATCAAAAAAGCAGAAAGAGCCCTTACCGATCACAAAATTCCCATCCTCCTCCTCCTCCTCCACCTGCACATCCTCGCCAACACCCACATCCCCATAAATCAGCCTATCCACGGGCGTCCCCTTCAGCGGTAAATACCTCGTCCTCCCCCTCCCCCTCTCCTTCTCCTTCCCCCGCCACACCTTACGCCGGCCGCCGTCCTTCTCGACTACATCCTCCTTCTCAACCACTAGCGGGAGTGCCTCCTCCTCCTCCTCCTCCTCCTCCTCCTCCTCCTCCTCCTCCTCCTCATTGTCCCCATCCCCATCGTCGCCAGAGGGGCGCTTCCGCTTATTCGACAACTGCAGCGCAGCCGGCGCGGCAGCGGCAGCGGCGGTAGCAGTGGGCGGGGGCGTCGGCATCGGCGTGGCATCAACCAGCTGCGACTCCGGCAGCTCGGGCGACCCCGGCCTCTCCGCGGGCGCCCACCCGTCGTCGAGCGTGTAGTCCAGCGCCGCCTCATCCTCATCCTCATCCTCAGTGTCCTCGTGGTGGTGGTGGTACTCGATGGCCAGCTTGCGCGGCGAGGACAGTGGCACGGCCTCGATGGCGCCCGTGTGCTTGTTGCGCACGATGCGGACGGCGCTGTGGCTGCGCAGGAGGGCGGCGGCGTCGGCGACGAAGAGGGGGTCGTCGGTGGTGGTTTGGAGGAGGTGGAAGGGGTCTTCGCTTGGTGGCCTGGGGGGTGGGGGCGGGGAGAGCGCGAGGGGGAGGGAGTGCGGTTGGGATTGGGATTGGGAGTGCGGGTGGGGTGGGGGGGTGGATGGTGGGGGGGTGGGGGTGGGTGTGGGTGTGGGTGTGGGTGTGGGGGAGGGCGACGTCGGGAAGCGCGTCAGTGTTAGTGTTGCATCGGGCGTGGTGTGCCGCTGCTGCTGCCGTCGGCGGTGCTGCAGCGTGTCGAGCCCGCCCAGGGGCTTGATCTCTGCTTGCAGTTCCTCCGCGGGGGCGAGGGAGGACTGGTATTTGGGGCTTCGGCGGCGCAGGGCGTCGATGGCGCGGAGGACGCGGCCGCGGTGGCCCATGGAGCGGAGGTGCAGGTCGGTCTGGAGGCGGCTGTAGGTCACGAGCGTGAGGAGGGTTTCGCCGTCGACGTCGTTGGAGAGGAGGGTGGTGGTGAGGGGGGCGTGGATTGCGGGGGGGAGCAGCGGGAGGAGGTGGGAGGTGACTTGTGGGGGGGTCCAGTCGTAGGGGTCGGCTGGGAGGGGGAGCGTCAGGGCGGTGGAGGGGTGGTCGGTGGGGGAGGTGGTGGGGGAGGTCATTGGGGGTGGGTCTATGTCCATGGTGGGTGGTGGGTGGTGGGCAAACTGTGGTGTTTGTTGTGGGTGGGTGGGTGGGTGGTGGTTAGAGGGGTTGGTGGTGGGGCATGGGGTTGGTGAGTGATGGTGATGGGATTGTTGTGTGGCGTGTGGGATTGATGTGGTGTGATGCGGTGGTGGTGTTGGTGAGTGTGAGTGTGAGAGTTGAGATGAGGTTGTTGATGTGATGATGTGTGGTGGTGGTGGTGGTGGTGGTGGTGGTGGTGGTGGTGGTGGTGGTGATGGTGAGAGATGATGATGATGATGATGGTGGGGAAAGAAGTGATGGAGGTAGTGGAGCCTGAGTGTGAGTGATTGCAGCAAGCAAGAAAAGAAAAAAAGTTGCCCTTCTTCTCCCTGTGGCCCGTCCCGCAATCGCTTAGAGTAGGGTTTGCACTCCCCAGCTACAACAGCAACAGCAACAGCAACAGCGTGTGTGCAATTTTGCACATTCAATTGATGGCCGTGTGTCTCCCCTAACGTCTACGTGCAGTGCGAGCGTGTCGTGGTGTTTATTGCTTGGCGCCCACCCACCCACCCACCCACCCACCATGCAGGGTGTGTGTGGTGAGAGCTTCGGTTTGCGCGCGTTTGCCCTGACTGAAGAGCTGAAGGAGGGTGAATTTTTAATTTTTGGAAACGGGGAGAGGTGACGTCACGGGGACCCTGGCCGATGGGGGGAGGGTTGCACTTGCGGTTGTGCCCCTGGAGCTAGAGATAGAGAGAGAGGGGGGGGGGATTGTGGTGCTATGCTGGATGGGGCTACGCTGCACGTGGGAGAGGGAGTAGGGTAAGGGGGGGGGGGGGATAAGGTGCTCTATCCCAGGGTTGGGGGTGGAATGGGAACGGGGGTTTTGATCATTGCCATAGCAGAGCAGTACATAGTAGTAACTCAAGAGCCTGCTACTCAATTGAAATTGCAATTGGAGATCATCGATTAGTACGTAGCCCTAGGTACCGGTACCGTCCACTACAGGCTCTACAGCACCTCCCTAACTAGCTGCACCAAGAGACGTTCTCCGGAGCTTGGCTCCGCCCAGTCCGAGTGTTAGCCTTAACTGCTAGCTAGCAGAGATAATGCCTAAAGGCAGCAATTGACTCTTTGGTCGTTGTGGTGGTGGTGGTGGTGGTGGTGGCCGGTGGTGCACTGGTGGGTCGTGCAGAGCGTTCTGTTTTACCTTACGCAAACTCCCGTAATCAAGAGGAGAATAGTTCCAGGTACTACTTACATAGAAGAGAAAGGAGTGCGCTCGCTCGCTCGCTGGCTGGTGGGGCCCGACCTTTCTTTTCTTTCGACTTTGGCTTTGGCTTTGGCTTCATCCCTATTACAATTGTTTATTTCTCCACGACGTTATCTACCCGCATTCATTCAGATTGTTCTAACGGATCTCTAGTGTACTACTGTAGCAGCTGTGTCGATACTAATAACTACAATCAGCTGAATCTCAATTAATTGGGAGGATATCTACAATATAGGACCCGACGGAATCTTCCCTCGACACCCACGCCCCCCAGTTCGTCCCGTCTTTAAATCTCGATCTCTGGAGCCTCTCTCGTGTGTTTGGCCGTTAACTTGCAGATCTGTTGGATTCAGAGGAAAAAGAAACGACCCGCCGCCCGCCGACTTGCCTTACCTACCTTACTTGCCTTGATTGCTTGATTGAGTGAGCGAGGGCTTGATTATAACATTCCCTGCTATCACTATTGCTGCTTGATACTCCCTCCCTGCCTGTCTGCTTACCTGCCTCTGCCTCTGCCTCTGCCTACCCGTCTCCGTCGCGTCTCCCACCAACCACTCCTCGCTTCCTTCCGCGCCAAGCCCCGGCCCCCCAACACCCCTTCACACACCACCACCACCACCAGCACCAGCACCACAACCCCCCTAACCGCAACAACGGCCTCCCCATCGCCCGCCCGCCGTCACCCACCGGCCCCCTACGCCCATCCGCGCCGCCACAGCCAGCAGCACCGCACCCTGCACCTCACCCGGCCGCCGTCCGTCTACACCACCACCACCACCACCCGGCGAGCCCCCAAACCGCCGCCCCACGCCGCTGCCCCGCCAACAGCCACAAGCACTGCCTTCTCCTCGTCGTCGTCCGAGGAGCTCCTCGAAGCTGCCTCCTCCCCCTCCTCCTCCTCCTCCTCCTCCCCCTCCCCCTCCCCCACCACCACCGCAGCAACAACAATAACAGCCGACGCCCGCAGCGCCTACTCCATCACCGTGCTCCCCCTGCAGGGCCCGCGCCTCACCACCACGCAGCACCACCACCACCACCACCACCACCACCACTCCTCCCGCCGCCGCAGCAGCACCAGCACCCGCCACACGCCCATGAGCCCCCGCCACACACCGCACACACCGCACACACCGCACACCCCGCACCACCACCCCGGCTCCTACCTCTCCACCACGCCCTCCTCCACCACCCGCTCAAACACCCCCATCAAGCTCCCGCTGCAGATGACGGCCACCTCCACGTCCACGTCCACGCCCACCCCCCGCTCGTGGCTCGGCGACCCCGACGACGTCCCGCTCGACGACCTCCGCTCCAAGCACCAGCGCGCCCAGGTGCTCGTCCCGCAGCAGGCCTCGCAGGTCACCATCACCTCGCCGGCGCTGCCGCCGCCCGGCGCTACAACGCTGCCTTCTATCGGCGACGAGGAGTCGCGGCCGGGCTCGCGCGACAGCGAGTGGAACAGCACGCACCCGTGCTTCCCGCACCGCAACCCGTACGTGCCCGTGGACAGCGCGCTCTACCGCACCACGCGCATCATCCGCATCAGCCGCGACTTCATGGTGTACGGCGACCTCGCGCCGGCGTACTCGAACGTGTTTCCCGACATCCTCGAGCCGCACGTGACGGAGGAGCAGTTCCGGGTGGTGGTGGCGCGGGTCAATGAGGAGATGCTGCGCGCGTATGATCCGTGGAATGTGTGGAACTGGGTGGATGCGCTGGTGGGGCTGGTGACGCTGTGGCTGTGGGAGGAGGTGGTGGATAGTCATTGTAAGAGGGTGCTGAGGGGCGTGGAGGCGTATCTGGAGTGGTGGAATGGCGAGTTGGAGAGGTTGGGGCAGAGGGCGGTGTTTATACCGTTGAGGAGGGCGGGGTATATGAATGTGCGTATCTAGCTTCCGGGACCCCTTCTTCCCCTTCGTTTCGGGTTCCCGGCTTGCCTGCTTGCCTGGTGGAGACTAATGGTGGGGTGTGTGGTGTAGCTCGATATACAGATCCCCGACCCCATCCCCGCCGCCACAGACGAGGACGACACAGGGTCCAGGTTCGTCGACGAGGACGCATCGGAGACGGGCAGCACCATCGGCCCGCTCGGCAGCGAGGCGGGCCACCACAGCCTCCGCATGAACAGCATGAACGGCCGGGGAAGCAGCGGCCGCATGGGCAGTCTGGGGAGCGGCGACTACTCGAATGAGGGCAGTTACCGATGATGAATGATCGATGATGTATTTGGGAGCTTTTCCTTTTTTTTTTTTTTTGCTTTCTTCTGTGCATGTGTGTGTGTGTTTGGGGCTCTTTTTTTAAAAAAAAATCAGTGGGGGTGATGTTTGGTGATGTTTGGCTTCTTGATATTAGAATAGTTGCGCTTTTTTGGGGGGGGGGTGGAGCTGGCCTTGGGGCTGCTGGGCTTTCCGGTTTTCTTTCTTTTCTGCTTGTTCTTCTTGTGCTTTTTCTGAATGTCTTCTGCATTTTTTTTTTTCTCGCTTTCTGTTCGGGTCCCGTGCGCGCGCGGGACGGAAATAGGTGTTTCTGCTTTGCATCTTTTCTTTACTTTTACTTTTCTACTTTACTTTCTACCCTTTTTTTTTTCCTTCAACTTTTACTTTTACTTTTACTTTTACTTACTGCATCATATTCCAGTCGTTATACCGCCATATAGTGTCTTTTGTAACTACCATTCCCTTCTTCTTCTTCTTCCGCCTCTTCTTCTGCTTTCTGCTTCTACAATCATATCCTGGCGACTGTGTGTGTGTGTGTGCTTCTTTTCCCTTCTTGGCTAGGCTGGGGAGGTATAACTTCTTATACATCTTTTGTTTCTAGTTTGTGTGGTTTTGCGCTATGATTTTTCTTTTCTTTTTTTTTTTTTTTTTAAAGTTTAGTTTGAAGGAGGAGGAAGAGGAGAAAGGAAGAAAGAAAGAAAGAAAGAAGAGCAGGGAGGACCGGGGGGGATGTGATGTGCATGTGCATGTGTCAAGTGGGAATGTCCGATGTCGATATTGAAAAGGTCAATTTATATTGCATTTAGAGTGTTTACTGGTTTTTTTTTGCCGCTTGCGTGTTGCGTGGTCATGGTCATTTGGGGGGGGGGGGGGGGGGGTGTCACTCGCGTTCACATCCTGGTTCTACGGATGCTGCCGCCCCCAAAACACACACCTGCCAGTCGGTACAGCCAGTAGAAAAACCGGGCCCGCGTAGCTATTTTACTCACCAGATTATTCTACTAGGCCCGCCTCTCTCTACCCCCCAAGTCTTGAGGTATAATCGTGAAAAATAAACAACAAACGAAGCAACAGCCCGTCCGTCCCCCCGCCAGGAGTAAAAAACGAGAGGCGGACCCAAACAAAAAAGAATTCACAAAGTACATATATGACTACTATAGACCCGTAATCTACTTCCCACCCCCACCCCCAGCAACCCCACCCACGTGAGCCGGCAGTAGATCTTCTTGCGAGCGGGAGACACGCGTCAGGCCTCTTGTCGAGTGGCCGGTTTTTTTGGTGGCGAGTGATATTTCATGAACCAACCCCCATCCGGCTGATTCGAGGGGGGTGTGGTTGTATGTTTTGAGTCGGGCCGTGGAGAGTATTGGATTGGTACGTAGGCGCGGTTTATTGTCCGGGGTGTAGCTTGGGCGTGGTCTATCATCCCGTGTGTTGTGGCCCCGGCCGTGGCTAAAATGTTGTGCGGCAGGTACATGTAGGCCGGGTGGTATGGCTAAGGCCACCCGGGCTACATACGGATGGGCACGCGATCTCTTTGACTTCCCCCCTCCACATAAACATACCCATAGAAAGTACATGTACATGTAATTATCAGCTTAGTAGTTCCGTCCGGCCCACTCTTTATCTTTCCATTTCAAAAAATAAAATCGGGGTAAAAAAGAAAGAAAAAAAAAGATTTGAATTGGCTTCGCTAGGGAATCGAACCCAGTTACCTGCTGTCGTCATAAGTTTCCTAACCAGGTGCATAGACCACTATACTAACAAAGCTTGAAGTACAGTGTACCTGGGAGGATGGTAAAGATAGGTTTTGCGTTAGTTACATAGTATTATTTCAGAGCTTCCCCAGTCCCCAAGGTTATGTCACATGACGGAAAGCTTCAACGCTTTGCCAGGGTTGCTGGGTGGGCCATTGTCTCGATTTACAAGACTCACTTTGAAGGATACAACACGAGAGGGTACTTACGTACTTTCCCAAGTCTCGTCTCATCCCGTCTCGTACCCATCACTACTTTTTATTTTACGGGTTGGGAACTATTCTAGCAGTGCTTAATTAAGGTCATGAAGTCTTGGGCTTATCCTCATCACTACATGTGTTTCTCTGAGGTACAATCGGAGTAATACGGGGCTATCCCCGAGTTGCTCTCATCGGCACCAGGTGAGGGGGCGAAGTTACTAAGTACCCTAGACTTCCTCCCCTAGCCTCGCTCTTCGTTCATATCCCCGCCGCAACCTCTCGGCTAGCACACAGGCGCCCCAATGTTGGAAGGGATGGAAACACCCGAACCGGAAAAGCTAGCGCTTGAGTCCCAACGCCGGCCACGATGAGTGAACTCGTAACTGGCGAGCAGTAGTTGAGTTGCAGGCTGATGATGGCAAGACAAGGATGCATCCGGGCCTAGATACGCGTTCCCGGTCCTAGCGTTGATGAAGATGGGGGAGAGGAGGGGGAAAGGGGTGACGCTGTGTATATGGAGTTAGTAGGTTTGGGGGGGGGGGAAGAGTTCGTAAACGAAGGAGCTGAAGTGTGGTGATTGGCGTTGACCACATGTAGTTTTGCTGCCGATGCACAGATTCTACCTCTCATCAGAAAGTAAATCGGCGTTGGTGTTACATGTAGTCTGGGCAGAGGGAGGGTACGTACGCTGGCTAAGTGCGCGAAGTCGTTTTCTTGGCGCGCGAGTGATGTTCTGTGATGCAAAATAAGGTTTGCTTTGGACAACGTCCTTGGCAGAAACCTTAACTAGACCACCGTTGACATCCCAACTCATCAACCTCGCTCCCCTCTACATCTAATTGCTATTCATGTTCATCACCAGACAGTGACACTTCCATCTTCCCTTCCCACGCAGAGCTTGATAGATTTGCCATATCCTACGCACGCATGGAAACCACGCCTAAAGTTACAGCTTCGGTACACCTGTGCCCAGGCACGCGAGGGCTCATCGCGAAACAAACATGGCATTCTTCCACAACTTACTAACAAATACTCTTCACAGCAGCAATTTCTTTTGAAGAGGGTACGCATCCTGGATCCGGAGGCCATCTAACAAACAAGTCTTATATCGGCCGGTCATACAGCATCACTAGCACACATCACAGACAGCCATTTTGGCACCGACCAGCTGGTAGAGCAGGCGGTGTGTGTTTGCTCTTCCTGTATGTATAACATCGCGGGCTTCGGTTTCCCTGGGTGCTTTACTGGGATAGCTTCTACCGGAGAGGAGGAAAACTTTGTCTTCACTTTACTTTGCAGGTGCCGCAGATGCGGTAAGGACATATCAATACGGGAGGACCAAACCATTGCGTGAAGTCTACCCATTGCGTTTTGCGCGTTGAGCCTTCTCAAGCATCCATTCTTATGATATTCCAGAGTATCAGTTAGCGGTCTCCTCCGGAGAGGAAAATTGAAGACAATACGCAGATCAAGAATAAATTTCACTTCTCGTATACTGGCCCAGCCGCTTCAAATGAGGTTATTCTGAGGTCAAGCTGGTATGCAAAAGAACAGATCTGGAAAATGTGCTGTGGCGCAAGCACTGTAGTTCAGCAAAGGGGGCAGGAAAAAGAACTGTTTTGGCCAGACATAGGCTTCCATTCTCACACTTTTTCCCTCATGGGAGTCACAACCGGGCCATATAGTTTCGTACACCAGATAGAACTACATGTAGCTATAGACTGGATTTAGCAACTACTATTTTCTTACGAAGACCAAAGGTTGCTTCGTAAATGGAGAGGCCAGATCATGCAGCTTGGCGATGCCTTCGATTCTTGGACTCTTCGAGAGTTGAATACTGACATTCTACTCATGTCCTGTGCCTCTACTTGTATATGAGAGTAGAGGTGTCCCGTACTAAGACGGTACTCGAAATCTTATATTCTCATGTCATACGAGCGCACTGGAAACAGGTCGACGCGGTGTTCATAAAGCATATTTTCTCCTTACCTCTTAGCAGTGTTTCCAGAGCTAGTATTATCTCCTACTAAGAATTCCATTTAGAATATCAGAAACTTGAAATACCTCGGGCTTCAGAGGGATAACGTCGCCAGACAAAAACACGCCCAATAACTAACTAAATTTATAGACAAAAAAACAGAAACAAGAGTATATACACGCAGCCCATCCATCATCTACTTTGCACAGCAACCCTTCTGCTCAAATGCTAACTGACTAGCACCATCCCCCGTGACAGCGCCCGCTCTCCCCGCCGCCACCTGACTCGGCACCGACACATAACTCGGCGGCACATCTAGCGCAGGATTCCTCAAAAAGAAGTGACGCGGCCTTAGCAGCAAGCTCATCGACTCAGCGGGCATGACCGGGAAGTCCTCTGGGGCGGGAAAGTGTGTGAGGCCGAACGTGTGCCAGATGACAATGTCCTCGTTATCAATACTAGCCGTGCCATCGCCAACCCACTCTGGTAGACCCATTGGGGGCTCTCCTGAGGTCTGTGGGACGTGGCGGCCGGCAGGGTGTATTTGGTTGTCGGCGTCTAGTAGTCAGTGTCAGATAGAGTTTTATACTAACAGGGAGTAAGGGTGGGTGGGCATACATTTAGTGACATGTATAGAATGTCTTGCGAACCCAGCCCGCTTCCATACTAATCCACCCTCCTTCACCAGCAATGGCGGAGTCTCCCTTGAGACGAGTTTATAGCTGGGGAATTTCCCCGAATACGGGTGCGTCTTGTTAGTATTACAGATATCCCACGTCCTCGACGAACTGGCGTCGTAGTCCGAAAACGACTCGCCCACAGTCGAGTACTTTGTCTTCTTCGCATAAAACGCATTTCCATACTTGTTCTCGGCGCTACCTACCTCGCCCTCGCCGCGGGTTGCATCAACCTGGAACACCGTGTTCTTCTGCCCATCAATCATGGGATCAATCCTGAGGCAGAACAAGTGCTGATGGTTATGCGCATTTACGCCGGGATGCACCTGGGTGCCCCAGCCTTTAGTATCCTCATCGGGCGCCATGGCGTAGGTGTTGAGGATGCCCGTGAGCTTGATCTCGAGCTGGATGGTACCGTCTTGGTGTAGGTTCCAGTAGATGCAGTACTCGTAGTTTGCGGCGGTGAAGATGTGCGAGATGACGAGCTTGCGGCCGCGAGTGACAATCACCGAATTGTCGCGGAAGTCGGTGTGCTTGAAGAGGATGCCCGAGTCTTCTTCGTGGATGCAGATGGCGTTGGGGATTGTGGTGGGGATGCCGGCGGCGGTGATGAAGGATGCGTCCATGTAGTGGATCACACCTTTGCAGTCGCATCCAAGGCTGGGAAATCATATATTTAGCCATACACATATATTGAAAGACAGAGCCGACCATGGAAAGAAGTTATTACCTGAGTGAGTTGGTCATATACCCGCCGCCATACTCTCCCAGATCAAATGCATGTTTCCTATGGTGCGGATACTCCGGGCTCCCATACGGGACTACCATCTCCGCCAATGACAGTCTCCAAAACAGCGGCCTAACGACTCCACCATCATTATATGTCACATTATTGAGCACAATCCCTTCCTTGTGACTGAAGCCCACATGGAGCTTAAACTTCTGCCACTCAATAACCCGCCCCTGTACCGTGAATGACACGCCCTCAGGCTGCGTGATATTGATCGGCTTCACATCGGTCCTGTAGGCGGCGGGGTCGAGGTTGTAGTTGCTGGCAATGGTGTTGACGGGCCGCCGCACGGCGGGGATATCGATATCGACCACCTCGCCCGTGGTGGTGTTGACGATTGGACAAAAGTCGAGCGGGAAGGCATATTGCATGTCGTCGAGATTGGGCCGGTAGTAGAGCAGGGCTTGCTGGAGGCGGATGTTATTGCCGAAGCGCTCATCGTAGCCAATTGTCCATGCTTCGAACCGGAGTTAGACATATGTAATATCGTAAGCTACGTGGGGAAGGTGCAAGCTTACGGTCACAGTAGACTTTGCGCATGTCCTTCTCTGGAATTCCCAGGATTGCGCATTGTTCAATCACCTTGGGATTCGCCCTAATAATCTTCTCAGTCCCTTGCAAGTCCTCCACCGTGAGCTACACATCCACCCACCACTAATCAGCCATCTTACTCCCCAATTCCTCAACTTAAATACAGAGTATTCCTCACCATCGGCTGCACTCCCGTCAGCTTCTCCCACGTCTTGATCACCCCATTCGTCAGATCCACAATCCCATCACACAAATACCCATCTCCCACCACCACGACCTCCGCCTCCCTCAGCGGCCTCGGCGCCACCTCGGGGGTTTCAAGCCACGCCAACATCTCTGCCTTCTTCGGCTCTGAGAGGCACACCGTGTTGTAGCGCAGCTTCGGGCCGTGGTCTTTCGACACGATGGACACCGCGTACTCGATCTCGAGCTCGGAGAGCGGGTCGAGAGGGTGGGGCTGCGGTGTGCCGGGCTTGAAGAGGTGGTCGTGGATCTGTTGAAGTCGTTCGAGCATTGTTGCGATTGTTTGTGTTAATTGATGGGAAAGGAAAGGAGAAGGATGGGGGAGGTGTTTGGGCAGGTATATATATCTGCGGGGAGCTGTGGTATAAATACTATGTATCGTATTGTGTACGGTAAGCTGACTGCATGTAATATCAATGATCGTTGGTAAACTTTATTGTCTGTGATTGGCGATAAGCCCCCATAGCGGGGGGCCCGGGTGCCGATAACGTATAGGTAGTTATCATATCGCAGCTCTTATCGCAGCGGCGGGATCCTGGTGAGCTACATACTCGTAGTTTTTTGACGTTTCCGGACGCGACCACTATTGCATGCCATACAAAAGATAGCCTTGGCGGGTTTTTTCTGTGTATGCAATAGCAGTTGCGTCCGGAAACGCTGTGAAATTGCGAGTACATGCAACTTAACCTACATACATGTGGAGAGTGGATGTTTTTTTACAAGTAGATGTTTGTAATAAAATAAATCCATACACAATTTGTACATACCGTCGGGATTCCAAGGAACGCTACATACTAGCTAGTCGGGAGTGGGATATTATACCATACTCAAGAGAGGCATTCGCACTCAAGTTTGCCCCGTTGTGGGATATTATACCATACTCAAGAGAGGCATTCGCACTCAAGTTTGCCCCGTTGTGGGTTGGTGCCAGCGGCAGCAGGGGTTGGCGATTGGGCTTCGAGCATGGTTGCCTTGTTCTAGAAGGTTGGGCGAGAGAAAGAGAGGGGGTCATGGACGGTCACTCGAAGGCCGGGTGATGGGCTGATGGTTTAATTTGGCGTTTCCCGAATGGGCTGATGTTGTGTTTCGTTTCAAGTTGCTTCTACTAGTGTTTCGACTGTGTTTACTATTCCTACTGTACCTACTCTGCCTACTACTACATGTATGATGTAGCCCAAAGTACCCTACTGTTTTCTAATAAACCTGCTCGCGTAAGCCCATCCCGGCCGATCGCCCCGCATCGCGTCAAGCGAGACTAACTACTAGTACACAAATGCCAACCTATAATCATTGACCTCTTTTATTTTGTGAGCATTAATAGCTCTCAAATAGTAACAATTATCCCCCATAGTCGGTATCCAAAACAACTGATCCTGAGACTGGGTGCTCAATTGGTGGAAAGAAACCCCGCGTTCTATCTACAACTGCATGTATGCATGAATACGGGCGGCTGGCTAATAGGTAGGTAGCTATCGACGGCTGGCTGCCTGAACCTGTAGGTCGTCAGCCTTGTTTTCTTGCTGTCCATGCATCCATCCATATAATAGCGGGGCAAGAAGGAGGAGGATGAGAGACTCCAGAGAGTTGAGTTTATCTCTTTCATCACCACCATCCCACCACCAACCCTTCTCCTATTCTAATACCAAATTAAATCTTTCCCTTAAAATAATAAAAATAAAAACAGAAACCTACCAACCATGTCGTCCCCTAACGGCACCCCACTAATCGACCTGCCCAAGCTCACAATCGCAAACTATAGCACCTGGGCACCCCTCATGAAGAACCTCCTCAAAATGAACCTAGTCTGGGGACTCGCCCAAGGGCGCGAAAGTGCCCCTTCCCTCAGCAGCGGTAGCAGCCGTCAAGAAATCGAGCACTTCCATGTGCGTCAGGACCTAGCCACCTCGCAGATCTTCCTCAACTGCGACAGCGAGGTGCAAGCCAAGATCGCCGATATCGACGACCCGGCGGAGCTGTGGCGGAGCCTCAAGGATATGAGCGAGAAGGCGATTATGGTGGACGAGTATTGGCTGCGTAAAAGGCTGTATTCCATTGAGCTGGGCGAGTGCGGGTCTGTGGCGGCGTATGTGGGCTTGATACAGGACACGATCAATCTGATTGATGCGTGCAATCCTGAAGAGCCCGTTGGGCCCGCACAGCACTGTTTTATACTATGTGATGGGCTATCCGGGGAGTGGTTGCCATTTATTGGGGAGCTACATCGCGCGGGGAAGACGAGTAGGAAGCCAGAGGAGCTGATTAAGTTGTTTTTGGGACATGAGGTGCAGCTGAACCGGGAGAAGGAGGAGATGGAGAAAGAGCAGAAACGAGCTGAGGCGGTTCCAGTGCCGCCAGAGTCGGAGAGGAAACGAGAGAGTCCACCGGTACCAGTGCCAGCACCGGTGCAAGTAGGAGGTAGTGGTGGTGGAGGTGGAGGAGGAGGAGGAGGAGGAGGAGGGCAGGAAGCGCCTGTGGCTGAGCCGGCACCAGAGGCCGCCCGAAATATCCTGATCCGCTCCCGCCACCGCTTCTTCAATATCCGTGACACAAAAGTCAACTTCTACTACACGCACCCCTTCAGTTCGATCCACTATCACGCCTGCTATTCCATCCCGGCGTTCGCCGTCGTAACAGACCACATCCACGTGCTATATCCAGAAATATGCCGCCAGATATACACCAACGACCGACGGGACAAGATCATCTCTGGGAACGAGCAGGTGGGCGATGTAGCAATATACATCAAGCCCTCCGCCGGCGATCATGAGGAGGAGGGCGCTGCCAATTATAGTGGTGGTGCTGCCAATTGTGGTAGTAGTATACGTAGTGGTGCTTCTGCTCATTGTGGTGGTGCTGCTGATCTTAGTTCTGAGGAGGGTTCTAGAGCACCAGCACCGGCAAGTGAGGCCATGGTTGAGAAGAAAAAGTTAATAGATTGGATCTTCGAGACGCCGGATTGGAGGCAGTTGTTGTTAGATAACTTCTGGGAGTTCCCCGGAGGGAATGGGGGGCCGACGTATACCTTGGAGGTCGAGTATGAAGATAGTGAGTATTTATTTCTTTCATTTGGGGAACGGCTTAAACTAACATCAAGGCAGATCACCGGGTTTCGATCTTCTTCGACCACGAAAGAGAGTTTGAGTCGTTAGGCGTCACTCTTGAGATGTTCTTCCCGCCAGAGGCAGATATGGAGCTTTGATAGATGTAACTACATGTAGCTAGTACTGCTCTGAGATTCTTTCCTTTTTTTTTTTTTTATATAGTAGTTATTTTCTTTGATTGGCCTTTGGCGTTCACTCCTTTTTTTTTCCCTTTCTTTTCTTTATACCCGGCTGGTTTTTGTGTAGCTGTTTTCCTAGTCTTACTTTGCTTTAGCTAGCATCTCATAATACTACACCTTCTTTTCGGTACTACCTATTGTCCGTAAGTGTATGTGGATGTTGGGCAATTGAATCTTTCAACGTACGTACCCAGGTTTCTGAAAGTCAATAACTGCCTTGGTATCGATAGTGAGAGACAGTCCCGGTCCGGAGTGGAAGCGACCCTTAACATAATACACTAGATGCTTGCTTGATTACAAGATCTGGAAGAGTCCCCCAACCGAGAAGATATACCAGCCACATATAGTCTAGCACTAAGGCTTACACAGCACTAAATGTCCTCTCCACAGTTACGACCGCATATTATAAAGCGATGTTGCCCCGACTCCCGCATACTGCTCCTAGGAGTGTCTTTCCGGGGAGGATATCGGCAATCCGCCGTACTTACACGCCCAGACACCCTGTCCAAATTCATGACATGACAGCGACCCAAATTCTCCTCCGCGAATAGCCATTAAGAGGGAAGACCACGACCATTTTTGTTTCATACATGTAGTTACTGTAGTCACAAGTCGTACCCTTACGACGTTATAGTCTTAATCACAGCCCATCACTCGCTCCATCGCTCGCTTGTCGCCCCCAATAATTTCTCTAGAAAGAAAGCAGATATTTGTAAAAACCATCATATTCCACTAACCTACAACCGTCTAAGTAGGTACATATACAACCCGCATCCGCGGTATCATAAAGAGCGTAAGAAAAGAAAGCGCAAAAAAAAGCCAGTCATCATCTCGCAACATTACTAAGGGTTGGGAAACAACAAAAAAACAGAGAACAATGTTCGTAGAGAGCGTAAGAAAGAACGACACAACAAAAAACAGTACAGTACAAAACCGTACGGTACTCGCCCGTTAATCAAAACGGTGATCAACGGCCCCCACATAACACACACTATCGGTGGCTGGTTAGAGTAAGTAATCAACTAACTAAATCCCAGCCAAACAACCAGACAAGACAACCAAACAAAGTAATCAACTATCCAGTCAACTGCGACCATCCAACCAGCCAACGATCAACCAGCCAAGCCAGCCAAACTAACCACCACCGCCAAGCACAATCCTCAACCTCACCATCAACCTCACCATCAACCTCACCATCAACCTCAACAACCCTCGAAAGAAAGAAGAAAAAAAATCAAAAAATCAAATCTATCATATTCCACTATAAATTTACAGATATGTCTGCAAAATAAAGACATGAAAAAACAATCACCTCATCATCAAATCCAGAACCAGATCGAAGTATATGTAAGAGAACATGAATGTAGGGGAAGGGGGTATATCGTATCATAAACACAGTTAAAAGAGCGTGGCGAAAGTAATTCCCGATGAAGTAGGATGATACAAGGGGGAAGGCGGAAAGAAGAAGAAGGAAGCATAACACATATAATGGTCCTCGTCATCAATCAACCCAACCAACCCACATGATAGCACAAATATAGTAAAATAAAAAAGCAAGGAAATCAAATAAAAAAACACCCAAATGACAGGAAGAAAAGAAAACAAGAAAAAGTTGCAGCCCCATATGATCGTGCAACAGCAAGAAAAAATCCCCCCGTTTTTGTTCAGTCCTTGGATGGTCAGTCCATCGCCCCATCTCTCCCCATTCACCTGCTAGCCAGGTTAGGCTTCCTATACAATCGAGCCCGAGCGCTCTCTCTCTTCCATAACCAGCACTCACGCCACCAATTTGTTATACTCCCGTAGCCAAGGGAAATTAACGGAAAAGAAGAAGCATAAAAAGTACACCACACAACACCATACCCATTTAATAGTAGCAAAACGAAAAAGAAAGAAAAAAGCAAGGCAATGGCCCCCGAGAAAGAAAGGAAGAGAAAAAAGTGCTGAAGTCCTATTATACGTTGATGCGTTCTCTTCCAGCAACAACTTCCAATACATCGTTCACCACGGCTTCTAGCTCTCCAACTCGCGCTCTCAGCATGCGGTTTTCGGCACGAACGTCGGTATCGTTGTTGCCAATCCAGCCGCCGGTGCCGCGGCGTGTGAGCGACGCGAATCCCCATTTAGTGGTTGTGACTGGGCTGGTGACGGGGGTCTGTGTGGGCGTGGCCGTCCCGTCCGATCCAGCGCTCCATGCCTGCGATAGTGGCGTCGGGTTTCTGATCGAGGCGCTCGATGGAGTGAGGGTGCGAGTGCAGTGCTCACACTTGGTGCTTGTTGAAATAGTGAGGCTCCGGTCGTCGACACCGCCATCCATGAAGCTGTCTATGGGACTAACGACCTGGCTGGCCCGAGAGAACATGCTCTCAGTGTCACTCTCGAATCCACTGTCACTGGCTGCGGAGGTCCTCTTATTTACCCTCAATGTCGTCCGTCTCTCAAGCTCCCCTTCCAGCTCTTCCCGCTTCGCCCTTTCCCTCTGTAGCTCTCTCTCCAGCTCTTTGATCCGCTTCTCTCCTTCTGCAAGCTTCACATCCTGCGCCTCTCGTAGTATGCTTTCCTCGGTAGCAAGACGTCCAAGCTGCATCTTGTACTCCGATAGCTTAATTCGTGACTCCTCCATGACCTCCTTCGTAACCTCCTGTTCATTGTGCATATCACCGAGGGCCTGGGTCCTGGACTTGTAGGCCTCATAGACACGCTCCAAAAGATCACCCGCGGTAATAGCAAGCTCCTCAAGACGCGCTTCAGGTGTACGTTTCTGAGCCTCCTCCGGAGTCTCCGCGGTTCCTTCCGGCTCCTGAACAAACGAGTTCAACAGATTACGGAACGGGATCCCCGCAAACTCATCGATCAACATAGTCGGCCCAATCTCTGGCGAATAATCACGCATCGAGCGCGAAGATCGCGTTGGCGACTCTGGCGGCGAGCTGCCCGCCGAGGCGTTTTTCTGGATGGCATGCCCAAACGAGCTGCCGATCGAATTGAAGAAACCCTTGTTTCCATTCTTGGAGTTCTGCACCGTCAGCGTGGAGCCTGATCTTTGCCTTGCCGCGGCAGTAGAGGCCTGTGTAACCGGCGCAGCTGCCGCGACGGGGTGGTCGAGCTCAGCAGCTCCCTTCGCCGCAAACAACGACGAGAACAACGCAACCGCGCCAACCTTCTTGTCTTGCACTTTGTCGCCTGTAAATCCCATTGCTGAGGAATCTGTCCGAGTGTGTTTTGTAGCTGAGGGAACCTTCTGGAGTGGTGCCGGCTGTGGGGTCGTAGATAGCTTTTTCGGAGAAGCCTCTTTATCGGTCGGAGGCGCTTCAGTACACGCCGAATCCTGGTCACCGTTGCCCTGTGCTGATGCCGAGGCCGTTATATTGTCCCCAGGTAAATTCTCCGTTTCAGTGTCGCTGGGGTGATCCTGTGACGGCGCCAACAAAGAGAGATTTGAGGGTGTGTCCGAGGTTGGGATATCAGGCGGGGTGGAATCTTTGGGGGGAGAATTGGAGAGCGTTTCCTGGTGCTCTTCTTCTTTTGATGATGGCGGAGTATCAGGCGAAGAGGGGAAGTTCGGAGTGTGTGGTGGGAGACTGACGTTATCAGACAGGGCAGGTGCGTGGGGCGCCATGATTGGAAGCTGTTGGTCGGCCATGATCTACCTATGAAGCTCCTGTATATGATCGAGTGCGAGTTGATAGTGGATGTATATGTATGTACTTGCTGGAAGACCTGCCTCCTGATGGTGCGTTGGCGATTGGATGCTTAGGTGGGTAACAAAACGTGGGTTTCGGGGGGGTTATTCGATGGCGATGTATCAGAGTGACTTGTCGGCTGTAGACAGATTAGCAATTGGTCAGAGTCAACCGATGACAATTCGGGGATAGGGGGGAAAGAAGGGCTTTTTACATAGAATTATGAGGAGACTCGAGTAAGAGGTTTAAAAAATTCCGTGAAACAGTAAACGTGCCCAGTTCCCCGGGATTGTTTGAACGGTTGGCTCAGACGATTGGCAACGAAGCAGTATGAGATGGGGGAAGAAACGAAGGGAAAGCGAAGAAGGATAGTACTAAGTTGAAGTGGGTAGCGAAATTAGAGGAGGAAATTGTGTGGGGGGGTAGGTGGGAGGGGGAGGAGATTGACGATGATGAGAAGGGATAATGGGGTAGAGTAGTTGGGAGGAGGATAGGTTAGGTTGAAGGGGGTGAAAGGGCACTCATACACGATTCCTTACACCCGTTCACGTCCTTTACTCACTCTCATACTCAACGTTTGTCAACTCTACTCAGGGGAGGTTGGACGTCTTGGGATTGGACATGGACCGGGGGGGTGGCTGACAATACAGACAAACTAAGGTTGAGGGGGGCAACCACCAGAACCAGTTGTGCCCACCTACCTACTAAGGCTGTCACCGATTGCCTGTTTGAGTATTTACACTCACGCATTATCATGCTCCTCTAACTCTTCTTGTACTTTTTCTGTTGCAGTGTGGCCCTTTCTGCCCGTTTCTCGCTGGGCCAAGCAACGTGTTTTAACAGACAGTTGTTTAGTTTCACTTGGTTTAGCCGCGCAGGTAACTCTTCAGGGCTAGCTCCAGGAACGAAGTTGAATGGAAGAACTTGGCGAGTTCGTTGGCTCCCGCTCTCCGCGGTTTCCTTCTTCCTCGCAAACATTTAGCCTCTTCAGGCAGGGGCAGCGCCAGTGCGGGTGTGGATGTGTGTGGATTGATGTGAGGAAGCGCTGGAGGCTGAAGCTGTCACTCGTCACCAGGCATGACCAAAGAGCAAATACTTACTCTGGACTCGCACACCTACACACAGAGCTTCTTCTGTGCGCCAAAGCTGAGCTTTGGGTTCTTGTTTTCATCGTGCGGTATGGCGTTGATATCATCATCATACAGAGGTGATGGCAAAGTCAGGATTCGGATTAAATTCTGCACACCCAGCCAGCCCAGCCAGCCCAGCCAGCCCTTTTTTCCAGCCTCCATCCAGCCATAAGCATGTCAATTCGACATTTTCCGTCAAAAGCCAAAAATACATCTCTGCTGGCTGCACTTCGCTTCATGAATGGAGATCACATGTAAAGATCCAATCTCTTTTTTAAATTTCCCTACCTCTGCCTCCGCGTATCATGTAACGGTAACGTGATCGATGGGCGGGCGATCATACGACGACCGCCGCTGTTTGTGGATCATCCCTATGGTAACCCTCCCCAACCAAAACACCAAACGCAAACTCCACATTCCCCTCATTCTCCTTGCATGCAGAACAGTAGGGTCTATCAAAGCTTATCATCCCCAGCCTTCCTCTTCTCTTCACGATTCTCAATTCAAGACTCTTGTTTCTCTCTTCCTACACCTCTCTCTCTGTTTAAACGTTTCCTCTGTCCCATCCCAGTGCCACCACCCATACCATCCCCAAAAGCAGCAAGCAGCACTCCAAAAAAGCAATACCCACAAGGCAGGCTGTCTCACCTGTCTTGCCTGTCCTGCCTGCCATGGCCCATGCTCACTTTCCTCCGCGCCTAGCGGCCTAGGAGACCACTTCCCACTCTCGGTAACCGATCGATCGGGTGCACATCCCGGAACGGAAAAGGAACAGCGCGCGGTAGACGGCAACACAGCTTCCGTGCCTGGTCGTCCCCAAATTTCCGAGGGCCCTGCGGCGGGGACGACTGGATTGGGTGCCCGGGTGCGGCCCTGCGGGGGGGTTGTGCGTTTGTTGACCCGGGACCTAGATTTCAGAGGTGTGGAGAGGTAGTGGGACATGGGATATCACTCGGGCGTTGTTGCTGGGTGGGTGGGTGAGTGAGTGTGTGCTGGTTGGTGGTGGGTAAGATTGTGAGATTGTAATATTGCAAGATTGAGATGGTAAGATTGGGATCATGGTAAGGGAATTTCCAGTGGGTCGTATTTCGTATTGATTTGTTTATATTGATGAATCACCGGGCGAGAGATTATGTTTCTCCACTGTCCCTGGAAGACCGGCCGACCCACCACAATATTGACATGTCTTCACTCCGCCGGGCACCCACCCACTCGGTAAATCCATACCTTCCTTCCTCCCCCCACCCCACTCCACTCCATTCCTCTTCCTCTTGTTCTATTCCCTCCTCGCTCAGTCTACCAGGTCGTGCCCTGTACGGTAGACGACACACCCCACCACTAAGCTCACACCAAGACCCGTGCACACCGTGCGTGCGGGCCCAGCGAGCGTACGTACGGAGTCATCACCGGCCGCGGGCTGCGGTGAAACATTTGTATGATGTAGAGCAAACATCAAAGATTATTGCACCACTCTACATCTATATCTATGAGGGATTATAAATACACACGGGACTGCTACAGTATTTAACTCTGTGGAGAGTCAATTATCTGTCTTCGATTTTTACGAGGTCGTGTATGGTACTGAGTACCCCGGGAACATGATAACCCTAACCCTGGACCGATCTCTTCTAATCCATTAATGCATGGGAGTCGGGTGGGACTGCTCGGTAATGCACCGAGTGCCGGCCAGCCAGGGGTCTTGAAGGAATAGCCGAAGATGACTGAAGGCCTGCCTTAGCGACTCTAGGGCCGTGGGAAGAGGAGTCGGACTGCATACATGTATGTGTCGTGACCAGTACTGCAGTCAAGCCCGTGCAGTGGATGGGCTACGTATCCTTTGGAGGTCCCGGGTTTACAGAATGTCACGCGCGGTGCCAGGAAATCTTGGAATTGATAGGATTGTGGGATGAAGGTGAATTCATCCATGCACTACATAGTAGACGATGGGATGAGTAAAGACCATGGTCCAAGAACTAAGGATATCCAATTTAGTACGGCCATTATGGACAGCTGGGGAGAAGCTTAAGGACCGTCTGTGTTTGAACGGTGCAAATTATAGACGAGCTCGCGAGGGTTATAGTTATAGGCCTAGTATCTATGCTGTCCTTATCTGACCATAATGCGCACTGCGAAGGCCTGACTCGCTTGTGTTGGTTAGGTTTCCTGTGTTGCATGGATGCACAGAATATCACTCGGCCGTGCCAACGGTAACAGAAAACAAGCACCCAATCTATTGAAACTGGCCGCTAGAAAAAAACAATGGTATATACAGGTGCCAAATCGACACCGGGAAATGCAAACATGCCTTTGGGAATCAAAGAAGAAAGCGGCAAAAAAAAAGAAGAAAATGGAAAAAAAACAAAGAAATCTATCCTATCACTTCTACGCTCTACTAACTCACCCGCAGGCCTCTACTCCTCCAACATCCCCTTCACCCACCCTGCCACCTTCTCTGCCATAACCTCGCCATGTTCTACCTCACACATCAGCACCCTCCCAAAAACACAAAAGCAAAGGACTCAGACTCAACTCACCTATACAAAACCCATGCGGCACACCCCCCTCATCCAGCACCATCCTCGGCTTCCACTCCTCGCCCATGCCCCTACCCCGCGTCTTCATGATAGCCTCCCTCGTCTCCTCCGCAACCCAATGATCGTTCTTACCAAAGTAGAACCACAGCCGGCTCACGCCCGCCTTCTCGCTCCCCCAGATGCCGTAGTCCCAGCGGTCGTGCGTGATCTCGGCCATCTCGTCGCGCGCCATAGATAGCGCTTGGAATACGGCGCCGGGCGTGGTGAGGAGTGAGAGCGTTGTGGCGGTCGCGGACGGGGGGTGAAAGGTCAGTAGGCGGATCATGGCGTAGACGAGGCGGGTGGGGAGGAGGGAGAGCGGGTGGGAGAGGTGCGAGATGAGGAGGGGGAGGTAGGCGCCGGTTAGTGTTAGGAGGGCCTGTAATGGGGGGGTTAGCTAACTAATGGACTGACTAAAGGGTGTTTCTAGCTAGCTAGATAACCTCCGGAACAGAGAGCTGGTACATACACTTAATATCTTCCCACTAGGGCTCTTCGCAATATCGACCACCGTAGGAAACAACATCACACCTCCAAACACCTCAGGTTCATCCTCAGCTTCCCCCTCAGCTCCATCCTCACCGCCACCCTCCGCCCGCCGCTTCTCCCGCTTCTCCCCCAGCACCCGCAGCGTCTCCATGGCAATATACGCGCCCACCGAGTGCCCCATAATTATCACCCTCGGCCTCATCCTCCTTTCCTTCTCACCCTCGGCCAGCTTACCCTCGTTCTCCAGCCCACCCTTGCCATCACCTACCCCCGCCGCGCCTCCACCTACAATCCACTCCACAATACCCACCTTCTGCACCACCTGCTCCGCCAGCGTCCAATACCCTTTCCCCGCACCCTCTCCCTCTCCCTCTCCCTCTCCCCCTCCTTCCACTACCTCCCTAGCGGCCGTCTGCTGCGAGTAAAACCCCGCATGCGACACGCCGAGCACATGTACTTTGCGCGCAAGCAGCGCCGCCAGCGTCCCCAGGAAGCGGCGGTAGTACTCGATCAGCCCGGGGTTGCCGGGGAGGAAGAGGATGTAGGTTTCGCGCTCGGTGGTGGTGGAAGAGGTGGAGAGCGCGGGGTAGTAGAGCGTGTCGGTGGGGGGGAGCCCGGGGGGGAGGGGGAAGGGGGTGGTTGTCATGGTGTATGTGTGTGTGTGTGGGGAGGTGTGGGGGGGTGGAGGTTTGGAGGAGCTTGGGTGCGGGTTGGGAGCTGGGAGGGTTGGGCTGGAGCTGGGAGGGTTGTGGCGGTGGCTGGGAGGTGTGGCTGAGGACTGGGGGTGGTAGGGTTATCTGTCTGTCTGTTGTGGTTGGAGGGATTGGTCGTGGGGGGATATAGGAATTGTTGTAGTAGCGGTGAGGGCATATATGACTCCGGATCTTATTACGGATCTGTGGTAGATCGCCATGTAGATACTAACACACTCCCAGTACAGCGTATTAACAGAACATATCTATTCCATAGCTTAGCTATAGTACGTAGCTATAACTTATCTATCTATCTACATAGTAGCTGATAATAACCAATCCAAATACTCAAAATGTTAGGTAGCTAGAATCCCACATAATCGTACTCAAAATCTACATCTACTTTACTGGACGCATCGTGAGCGCTCCGAGTCTCACAAATCCCAGCCTAGTCTGCTTCTTTGCTATGTGCATAGATACTACAACACGATACCCAGTGACGACAAATACGGATTTATCTTTAATATACCGGAGTCCTGATATATCGATAGTAGCATCATCTCGACAGCAGCACACCGCCGCCAACTAGTGTTAGGCTCGACCTTTAGGCTCAAACACCCCGAGCTCTCTTCCTCATAGCTCAAGCCAACTCAAGCTAATATTAGAGAAAGCTCGAGCCTAGGGCGCGCTTTATAAACTATGGCCGAGTAATGGGCTGATGACGGCGAAATTGAATAATAAATCCCCTGAATCCGTCGTTAAAAATGAAAACGTATATCGAGATGACCGTTTTTAGGTGTATTGACGGAAGCTGGATCCACGCTCTGGAGCTCAAGCATATTGAGCGTTCGTTCCAACAACTAGAGCCAGCTCGAGCTGATCGGGGCCAGGCTCGTGCCCAACATTACCGCCAACATTAAGCGGGTCAGTATTCGTAAGATTATGAATGTTCTGGATAGTAGCACACTATGTGACGTTCCCAACCAGCCCAGATCTTACTAGCGAGACCCTACTATGCATGCTTCATACACTGTCTTTCGTTCTGGTTGACCCCACGGGCGGCCACGGGTGTGTGGGTCATGAATTATCACTCGCCCTGACACACCCGCGGAATGGATGCTATGTAGCAGAATACCAGGGGGGCGTGAAGTGGTTGGGTCTGATAGGGATTGCCAGTTACCAGTGTTGGAGGATCCGGTTTACTGGGAAGAATTAAGTACTGGATAGAACTGTTGGTCAATATTAGCTGGCGGGTCAACTAGGCTGTAGCGATTGATGAGGCATGCGGGTGGGTGGTGCTTGGTGGTGCGGTCTTTAAATACGATGTTTTTTTAAATAGTCATTTGTTCGGTGTACTATGTGTTGCTGCAGTTGTTGTGTGGCCCGGATACTAGCTAGAGGTCCTACTCGCAACCACGTACGTAGACGTACACCATGTACCCAGTAACTTGTCCTCTTGGAATATCACTGAGCCCGGTATCAGTGCTAGACATCGCCGATGGGCCTAGAAGCTCTCATTTTCTGTCGGAAGGTCTAGTGTCATCAAACTACTAAGGTACATTTCCTTCTTCTTTTTTTTAATTTGTAGATAGATTGAAGTTCTGCTCGCGATCGTAGTAGAAAAAAATGATTTAGTGATGGCACAACTGATAATTATATAAGCCTAAATACATAGAACTTCATCTATTATTTCTTCTGGGATTTCGGCTTAATTCGTTACGTTGAAGGTACATATATGTATATAAGATGTACATAGTATGTATCTACCCAGAAGCCAATTACTGCCTTCAATTGCTCGGCCAATTAAGAGTCGATTAAAAACTGCTGCAGTGTACATCGATCTGAAGTCGGGTTACACAAAGACCACCCCGCAACTGCTCATGTATCCGTTCTCAGCCTTGCTGCGACTAACCATCATTACTATCACCATCATCACCCACAAACTACGATAACAAGAACAATCTGCTCTCGATATACTAGGATATACCGTCACTCGATACCCTAACCGATATGGAGGCACTAAGCGCTACATCGAGCATTCTTTCGCTCATTGACATCACAATAAAAGTGGCTGTTTTGAGTTATGAGTACATCGACAAAGTCAAAAACGCACAATCCGTCGTTCAAAAACTATTCGAAGAGCTTCAGATGCTTGCGAAGACACTTGGAGATCTAGAAAAGGATGCGCGGGATCCCGAATCAACAGTTCTACAACGACTAGAGTCTCCAATCCGAAGCTATCGCCAGGAGATAACGAGACGACACCGGAAATTAGAGTCAAATAAGCCATTAAATAGAATGCAGTATTGGTGGAAGAAGCTTAAATGGCCGCTCGAGGAAGCTGAAACTTTTCAGTTTTTGCTAGAAATCGAACGGTTTAAAACCAACTTGTTACTTGCCATGAGCAGTGACCAGAGGTGAGTTTCTCCCCCGCAAGTTTCTCTAGTACACAGGTAGTGTGTCGGAGAGAATTCCCCGTGCTCTGCGGCTCATGCGTCATCCTGTAATCTCGTCCCGAATATTATATCTCCTGTTTACATGTACTTTGGCATATGCGCATACATATTCCTATGTATCACGGATCAGTAAACATCATAAAAGAGTAGGGTATAAGATAGACAGCAGTAAACGAATTAGGGATACACGTATATAGATGGAGCTTCGGGACTGAGGTCATGGAGTATAGATCTACAGGGATTATGGAGAAGTGAGATTTTCAGGATGGAGAATATATACGCATGAGACGCAGAGAAAAAACGGAAATTGTATCCCCAACATATTACTGGTGTCTAGGTACTCTGGGGCGAGCTTTCCTCTTTGGCTACTGATCGTTTTGAGCTGTAGCGATGCTAATCTACATTAAGTCGTGGTATGAAGGAGATAAGAGAGCATAGGCGAAAGGAGGATATCAGAAGGGATGGTACGTAAGATTGGGACCCAAGAGACTCTATAGGTCTGCATACAAATGTAAATACTCGGCTAATAGGTGCTCTGGTTATATATGCTTAGATGACAAGCGCGTTGCAGTTCTCAATTGGTTATTCCCGGGTTCCTTTAATGAGCGACATAATGAAATCAGCGGTAGAAGAAAGAAGAACACGGGACAGTGGATTCTAAATGCACCTGAGGTCCAATATTGGAAAAAGCCTGGAAATCATGACCTTCTTTGGGGATACGGTATTCGTAAGTACTATGGCATTGGGCTCGAGTTATGAACATAAATATACTAATTAAAGCGTTGTGTGGTATAGCTGGCGCTGGAAAGACATTTTTAAGGTGTTCTATATATCTCTATGACTGCAATGTATATACAATTCTAACCTTTCTAGCTCTCTAATGATCGACAATCTCCAGGGTCAAGTGGGCTACGGGGTAGCTTATATATACTTCAACTACAAAGAGCAAGACAAACAAAAGCCGACTCACGTCCTTTCTAGCCTTACAAAGCAGCTCATTTCCCAGGCATCTACACAACCCTTACCCAAGAAGCTTGAAAACTTTCATAAAGATCAGAAAACACCGAACTCTGGGGAGTTGTACGACATTCTCCTCGATGTCACAAAGTTTTTTACCAGAACTTTTTTCATCTTTGATGCCCTAGATGAATGCGATCAAAGTAGTCAAAGAAAGGAGCTTTTACCATTATTTCATAGGATGGGGGGTAATGGGATGAAGTTATTTTTGACAAGTAGGGAGCACCCAGAAGATGTCCAGATTTCCTTCGAAAAGATATCGAAAATGAAGCTCTGGGCGAAAGACGAAGACGTCGCGACCTATATTGAACAAAAGATTTCCGAATACCCCCAAGCTGAGAGTCTTGTTAGCCAAGGCAACTACAGAAAAAAAATTATCTCTGAGCTTACGGACTGTGCTAAGGGGATGTAAGTTCATAGAGAAAAACTTGGGTTTATTCTCGAAAATGTTGATTGACATTTCTCAGGTTTTTACTTGTCCATTTCCATATCGAATGCCTATGTCAACAAACAACCACAAAACAAATTCTTATGGAGCTTGAAAGAATTAAAAGGGATTCAGAAAGTAGTATAAATAAATCTTTAAGCCCAACATACGACAGAGCTATGGATATTCTTTATGCCCAACACCCTCCAAGTCGCGTTGAGCTCGCAACAAGGGTCCTTTCATGGCTTGTGAAAGCTAGAAAAGTGCTTACGATCCATCAACTCCAAGAAGCCGTAACGGCCGATGAGGACTGCACTACTTTCGAAGAATCAGATTTACCGCACTTGCAGACGATGATCGATGTCTGTGCTGGGTTGGTAAATTTCGATAAAGATAGTAACGCCGTACGACTGGTTCACTACACCGCTCAGGAGTACCTTCTTACACATCGTATTATCCTGGAGAATGCAAACTTTAAGGTCGCGAATGCCTGTGTGACCTATGTCTCGAGTAGAGTAATCACTACACATATCACTCCTCTTCCCAATATTAATATCAATTTCTATTACAGTCACAGGCTCCGCCTGGCCAACACGACTCTACCCCCCCTTTTGATATATCTTTGCAGTGAGTTTTACTTCGTGTTTCATCTTAGCGAGTGTGAAGAGGGTTTATCGGAGGACTTGCTCTTGAAACTCGTATTCACTTTGAGCCAGAAACCTCAATGGTTGGATATTTTAGTGCCTCATGTCCTTGGAAGTACCCTAGCTAGCGCTAGCCCGTTACAGATTGGGTGTATACTGGGACATCTTCCTGTTGCTCAGAAGTTACTGGCGAATAACTCTGGTATTCCCACTGCGAAGAAGAGTGGACATGAATGGGTCGGACTTAATAAAATCCTCAATTCGAGTGGTTTTTGGATGTGTTGGAAAATAAGTCAATCGAAAAACATGGTGCCCATTATTCGTCTAATGATTGAGAATGATGCCAAATTCTCGATGACAGATGGGAATCTTCTGGGAGCGTTTCGTTTTGCAGTGGAATATGGATTTATAGAGCTATTCGAGCCTCTAATTTCCGGGGTCGCCGACATCTCCTCAGCTACAGATAGCCGCGGTATGACGGCGCTCCGCAATGCCTCGGTCCTAGGAAATATAGAAGCAATGGAGTTCCTGTTTTCCAGAGGCGCCGACGTCTCTGCTGCAGGCAATATGGGCCAGACGGCACTTCACTATGCAGCTATACATGGACATTCACAGGCAATTGATCTCCTACTTTCAAAAGGCGCCGACGTCTCTGCTGCAGACAATGAGGGCCAGACGGCACTTCACCATGCAATTATACGTGGACATTCACAGGCAATTGATCTCCTACTTTCCAAAGGCGCCGACGTCTCTGCTGCAGATAATGAGGGCCAGACGGCACTTCACTATGCAGCTATACATGGACATTCACAGGCAATTGATCTCCTACTTTCAAAAGGCGCCGACGTCTCTGCTGCAGACAATGAGGGCCAGACGGCACTTCACCATGCAGCTATACGTGGACATTCACAGGCAATTGATCTCCTACTTTCCAAAGGCGCCGACGTCTCTGCTGCAGATAATGAGGGCCAGACGGCACTTCACTATGCAGCTATACATGGACATTCACAGGCAATTGATCTCCTACTTTCAAAAGGCGTCGACGTCTCTGTTGCAGATAATGAGGGCCAGACGGCACTTCACCATGCAACTATACGTGGACATTCACAGGCAATTGATCTCCTACTTTCCAAAGGCGCCGACGTCTCTGCTGCAGACAATGAGGGCCAGACGGCACTTCACTATGCAGCTATACATGGACATTCACAGGCAATTGATCTCCTACTTTCAAAAGGCGTCGACGTCTCTGCTGCAGACAATGAGGGCCAGACGGCACTTCACCATGCAATTATATGTGGACATTCACAGGCAATTGATCTCCTACTTTCAAAAGGCGTCGACGTCTCTGTTGCAGATAATGAGGGCCAGACGGCACTTCACTATGCAGCTATACATGGACATTCACAGGCAATTGATCTCCTACTTTCAAAAGGCGTCGACGTCTCTGTTGCAGATAATGAGGGCCAGACGGCACTTCACCATGCAACTATACGTGGACATTCACAGGCAATTGATCTCCTACTTTCCAAAGGCGCCGACGTCTCTGCTGCAGACAATGAGGGCCAGACGGCACTTCACTATGCAGCTATACATGGACATTCACAGACAATTGATCTCCTACTTTCAAAAGGCGTCGACGTCTCTGCTGCAGATAATGAGGGCCAGACGGCACTTCACCATGCAACTATACAGGGAAATATGCAGGCAATTGATCTCTTACTTTCCAAAGGTGCGGATATCTCAGCTACGGATAGTGATGGTTGGACGGCACTTCATCATGCGGCAATAAACAATGACAGTATTGAGTCAAAGGAATTAATTAAGCTCTTAGCTTTTAGAGGTGCCGACATTTCAGCCGTAGATATCAATGGAAAGACGGCACTTCACCTCGCAGCCAGATGGGGATCTGCAGAGTCAATAAAGGCTTTGTTTGAAACAGGGGACGCGGACACTTCAGTAGAGGATGTCGATGGGAAGACAGCTCTACAGTGTGTAGAAGAGCACAAGTTATCTATGGATATAATTCAGATTTTTTCAGGTAAATAATAACCAGTCACCATCCAGGTTTACTCTCGATGAAATCTGACATAATGTAGGACTTCACCAAAAGAAGACAGTCTCTCGTAGTATTGCCCTTAGACCAAGGAGAAAAAGTATGTGAAGCGAAACGAAGCGACTGAGGAGACTGGCAATTAAAAGCGAATAGGTTCGTACGCTAAACTCTAATAGATATTTATTATATCAAAGGCATATCTAATATGGATGAGAATCAGCACAAAGAAAAGCATACATGAAGGGTGGTAGGCTTCTAAATCTTATGGGAGGCGGGAGGAGGTACTGGGAGGAGGGGAGGCTTTGAGTGTTATTCTCAGTCAGGTCCTGGAAGAGCGTTTCTTGTTATTGTATTTCGTGCGCAGAATGTGGAGGTTTAATTATGATATATAAATATTGTATGTAGAGAATAAGAAGGAAATCTGTTGTTGTGTATCCGTAAATATATCTTCCTACTTGTCTATATACAATGGCTTAGGTGGGTGCTAAAATTTCATTACTTTATTTTCGAAGCTTGTTCGGAATATATGACGACTTGTTGAGCCAATTCTGGGCTTATAATATGATGAACATGTGCGAGTGATCATCCATGAATGATGAGTTGATTTGTTATCTAACTGATCTATCTAGATTACACATAAACGATGAAAATAAGTCTACAGAGTGAATAAGCTTAGTTGAGACTACAGGCAGTACTGAAGACAAATTCCTTTTTTTCGGAGCGCAGGTAATGAATGACGAGTGATCAACTGTGATTCTTAGGCGCGGTGACGACTCACGTGATGCGAAATCCCCAAGAGCTAGTACCTATGTGTATTACTCTACTTGAAGTCAAGTACTATCATCCGATGTGTTCCCCTCCCCTTCTTTCCCTCTCTACTCTTACTTCATCATGTAGCGCTACTGTAGCTACATGTACTTACCCCACAACCCATTTCCGCTACGCCGTCCGGTTCTCATCCGATCTTCCGAGATTTCGGGAGGGGCTTTTTTGTACTGGAGCGGTGATGTTACCGGAGCCCTACGTGGTTCCGTGATTCCGTCGGTAATACACATTGTATATCACATATGGAGGTGGGTGTTTTTCTGCTTTTGGTGGAGGACTTGAAATGTATTGACGATAGCAGAGAAGCCTCCATGTTCGTACTTTTGGCAACAAGGGCATAACTACAACATGAATCTCTACATATCTACTTTAGCTAGGAATTACTTTATGTTAAGAGCTCGAGTCAAAACACATGCGCCAAAATACCCACAGCCGATTCGACAATATCAATATTCCAAAACAGAGGGATTCATTGGGTGCTGGGACGACCGAGATGCCTCGGTAAAGCAGATGACGTACTAGAGCAACAACCGATCCGTCGCCCTATCACAAGCTTACGGAGACCTCACGATCACGGGTCAGTCAGTCTCTCTCTCTCTCACATCCTGTCTTTCTTACATCCTGCCTGCCCTTCTCACAATTACAACATCTACCCCATTCTTGCTGTCTAAATAGTACTTTACACCCTCCTTCGCCCCCCCAGCTCGGACTTTCTTCTAGACTCTGCTCCACACCTTCTAGCACTCCCGTTGACACGCCTTAGCACACCCGTCCCTGCATAAACACCCTTCACCATGGCCGTCATAACCTCACAAGCGTAAGCCTCCCCCATACCATACCCTCTCCCTCGCAACGCGTAGCTAACACCTCTAAAGGCCTCCCAAAGGCGACAACTCGATAACAGTGACGGACAACCGCACCGGCAAGACCATCGTCATCCCCATAACCCACAACGCTATCCCCGCGACCGCCTTCAAAGCCCTCAAAGCCCCAGTGCCCAAAACCGAGGATGGAATCGACACGGACGACACTGCCAACGGCATTCGCATCTTTGACCCCGCATACCTCAACACCGCCGCCATCTCGTCGAAGATCACATTCATAGACGGCGACAAGGGCTTCCTCATGCACCGCGGATACCCGATCGAGCAGCTGGCCGAGAAGAGCGACTTTCTGGAGACGGCCTATCTCCTCATCTACGGCGATCTGCCGGCAAAGCAGCAGTACGACCTGTGGAAATACGAGGTTATGCACCACACCTTCCTCGCGGACGACCTCACGAAGCTGATCGGCTCTATGCGTTACGGTAAGACCAGACACCCCTCCCCACGCCACCTTTGTGAATCCTAACATCGCCAGACTCCCACCCCATGTCCGTATTCATCTCCGCCTTTGCGGCAATGGGCGCATTCGCGCCCGAGGCCAATCCCGCGCTCCAGGGCCGCAACCTCTACATCAACAACAAGGACATCATGAACAAGAACATCATCCGCATCCTCGGCAAGGCCGCCACCGTCGCCGCCTTCTCGATGCGCGTGCGCATGAACCGGCCCTTCATCTCGCCGCGCGCGGACCTGGGCTACGCCGAGAACATGCTCTACATGATGGACTCCATGTCCGAGGGCGAGAACTACAAGCCCGACGCACGCCTCGCGAGGGCCCTCGAGATCCTGTTCATCCTGCATGCGGACCACGAGATGAACTGCTCTACCTCCACCATGACGCATGTCGGCAGCTCCCTCGTCGACCCGTACTCTGCTGTCGCGGCCTCCGCGGCCGCACTCTACGGGCCCCTTCACGGCGGTGCCAATGAGGCCGTCATCCGCATGATTGAGAAGATTGGAAAAGTCGAGAACGTGCCGAAGTTCCTGGCGGACGTCAAGGAGAAGAAGGAGCTCCTGTTTGGCTTCGGCCACAGGGTCTACAAGAATACGGACCCGCGGTCAAAGATCATCAAGGAGGTGTCGGAGATGGTGTTTGAGGCGTGTGGCCGCGAGCCATTGATCGAAGTTGCGATCGCGCTCAAGGACGCGGCGTTGGCGGACCCGTGGTTTGTGGAGAAGAAGCTGTACCCCAATGTGGATTACTGGTCGGGGCTTATCTATAAAGCGATGGGCTTCCCGCTGGACTTTTACCCGATCCTGTTTGCGGTTCCGAGGGTTGCGGGTTGGCGTAAGTTGCCCCTCTACCCCCAGTGATAACAGAGCGCTGACAGAGTGTAGTGGCGCATTGGAAACAGGCACTCGACTCGTCGGGCGCAAAGATCTGGCGCCCGAGACAGGTATATGTCGGCGAGAAGCTGCGCGACTATGTCCCCATGGAGCAGCGGGCCGCGAAGGAGATTGTCGACAGCAAGGACGGCGTCAAGGAGCTGCCGCACTACCAGAGCAAGAGAAGATTGGGCGCAAAATTGTGAACGGGTCATGTGCTTTTTTTTTTTTTTTTTTTTTTATGGTTATGGTTTTATTGGTAGCATGTAGTTACTAGGGCGTTTTTTTGAAATTCAATACCAGACTTGTTCCCCATTGATCATTGGTGGTTGTTGGTTGCATTGACGCCTGCGGCCTCGGTAATCATGGTTTGTCACTCGCATGGCGCGTGTATGTGTACTCGGGGTTCCGGAGACCAGAGTACTTATCCGCTCAGCAAAGAGCCCCAAATACCACTCCCGTAGAACGATCAACTAAGCAAGTAGATAAGTACATATAGCCACCCCCCCCCCCCCCCATAGACCGAACCAATCCTCCGCATATCTATCCGGAAGTACACCCCCCCTCAAAAAAAAAAAAAAAAAAAAAAAAAAAAAGCCAACGTCTAAATAATACCCAAAGAATAATAAAAAAAAAAAACTAATCCCCATAAAGATAGTACCGCCTCCAAAGCCCCCGTCCAGGGTTCGGGGGCCAGGGAGAAGAGGAGGAGGAGGAGGAGGAGGAAGGGGGATATCAAGCCTAGGCCTCTATCCTTACAATTAGCTACATTAGTACATACAAGTACTTGCTATATAAAGTATATAGCGTCGACCAGTATTAAAACTCAAGCTGCCTCCCTCCATGACAACGTCATACTTGCGGGCGAGGAAAATATACCACCGGAGGAGAAGGAGCTGCATGTTCTGTATATATGTACATCTTGTACGTCGTGGTAGATTGTCATGGCAGGGTTACATAGGTTTCCCTAGCTCGCCCCCCCCCCCCCCTCTCTTTAAGTACTACTTCCGGGCCACTGACAGTGCGTGTGGGCGAGTGTAGACAGCTCGTCTTGCGCTACACCGAGTGTGCTGAGTCCCATGGCCATCAGTAGGTCCGGGGGGTGGGAGTGTTAAATGGGCTGGCTGTGGGGTGTATACTTTAGCGGGAAAATGTAGCCCCGTTATATTGCAGTACTGTATTGATTGGGCCGATACCCCCCCCCCGTGAACTGTATACATCTCATAAGCATCACTTTTTGTTTAAAATTTATTAGCCCGAGGGCTGGCCTAGCTAGTGGGTGGTGTATGTGTATGTGTATGTGTGTGTGTGTGTGATATCGATCAGAGAGAGAGCCCTGGCCCGTAACTGTAGCAGCTAATTGATTATAATTATCTTATATAGCTTCTCGCTCGTAATTTGGTCTCCCTCCCCCCCCCCCCGCCCCCCACATGGTCAGGGTCGGAACCTTTTTTTCGGACCATATTCTTTTTACAGTATAGTAGGTAGACGCGTTTGTGCCAATTCACCAGCAATTAAGTGCGTGTTTGGGGGGGTTGGCTGTGCTTTTGGGTTGCATGTTTGACCCGGCCCATCCTACAGTACCAACATATATATATATATATATATATCCAGGAGTATAGATGCCGCAAGCAAGCAAGTAGAAAAGCGGAAGCAGAAACAGAAGCAGCGGCAGAGCTACCTCTACACACACATGTACACATATATACCCCCGGGGGGTTAGATACCTCCGATCCTGCAAGATTCACCGGACCGCCTATCACAGTCACAGAGGTGGCAATTGCGGGGATGGGATGGGATGGTTAATGAAGTAGGTCTACGGGGGGGGGGGGGGGGATATACAGGAACTTATTTACTGTTGTTGCTGTTGTTACTAAATGTCCATGGTATTAGTATTTGGTATTGGTATTGTTAATTGGCATTTGCATTGCTATGTAGTTAGTACTGGGTATTTTACTACCGATATTTATATTTACTACTGATATTGGCATTTAGTACTGGTATTTGGTGCTATTGGCACTACTCCTGCAGCTGTGTTTACTGCTGGTGTCTATTTGCTACGGGTGATACTTCTACTACTACTGCTGCTGCTGCTACTACTACTACTGGCACGGCCGACTACACAATGCTACGGTACGGTGCAATTCATTATCTCTAGCTGCATCTGCATCTGCATCTGCATCTGCATCTGTACCCGGGAAGCTCTTATATTCCAATTGATACCCACACACCACGTGCACCAGCCCTACATATCCATATCTACCATCCGATCCGATCCGATCCCGCCGGCCATCCCCACCCCCCATCTACCCCCGCAAACCCGCAAACCCAGTCCCAAACCCCCCCCAATGCCATTGCCAGAAAAAAAAAAAAGAAAAAAAGAGAAATTCCATTAGCTATCTACATAGCCCCCCTGCCCCCCCCCCCCCCCTCTTCTTCTTCCTCCAAATTCCCCCCATCCCCATATCTAACCCCCGCTAGTGGTGCCCCTCCCCATGGTGCTTCTCCTCCTTCATAAACACAGCCTCATACGCGCAGTACCCCGCGAACGCCACCGTCGCGATGCCCAGCCCGGGGAAGGCGCCCTTGAAGCGGTTCCAGCGCGTGAACGGGCCCGTGTAGCGCCATGTCTCTCTGTAGGTGTTAGTTACATGTAGCGCGGCTGGTTGGGTGCAGGGGGAGGAGGGAGGAGGTACATGCGGGCCCAGGGGTCGGGGCGGGTGGGCTTCTTGAGGAGCGACTGCGGGTCGAAGGGGGTGTGCGGGTCCATGCTGTGTGTGCTGTGTGTGCTGTGTGTGTGGTGGGAGTGTAAGGTGCGGGAGTGTGCTGCGGGAGTGTGGTGTGCGGGTGTGGGCGGGTGTGTGTGTGGAGGGGCGGAGGGGCGGAGGGAGTGTGGTGGGGGGTTACCCGGAGTGCAGTACAGGGCTGGGCCAATTGGGAAGCTACCAAGAGCTGCAGGCTGGGATTGTAACTATATATTCAACTATTCAACTATTCACAACAACTACCTATCTACAACAACCACACAACAGCACCACCACAATGTCCAAATCCAAATCCAAACCCCTCAAAATGCTCCCCGAGGAGCGCGACCTCCCCGGGGGCGCCGCCGACGACGACAACACACCGCACGAACCCGAACCCGAACCCGAACCCGAACCCCCACTCACGGCCGACGAAGCCGCCCTGCGCGCATTCCTGCCGGCCTCCTTCGGGAAGCAGACCGCAAAACCCAACGTCGAGGCGCAATTCGCGCAGACGCGCCGGCGCCCCCTCGACGCGCCCGACTCGCCGCCGCGCAAGGGCAAGGGCAAGGGGAAGCAGGTTGTTGTTGCGCAGCGCCGCGTCGACGACTCTGACGACGAGGCGGAGGTTTCGCGGCGGAATGCGAGTGGTGGTGGTGGTGGTGGTGGTGGTGCTATGGCTATGGACGAGGACGAGGATGATGATGATGGTGATGATGAGGATAGTGACAGCGACGACGACGACGACGAAGACGAGTACCCAATCTCGCACGAGATCGTGCTCAAAGACCACACCAAGCCCGTGTCCGCCATCAGCCTGGACCCCTCGGGCACGCGCATCGCCACGGGCAGCCATGACTACCTCGTCAAGCTGTGGGACTTCCCCTCCATGAGCCGCGACCACCTGCACGCCTTCAAGTCGCTCGAGCCCTCCGAGTCGCACCACGTGCACGCCGCGCTCTTCTCGCACGCCGACTCCGGGCAGAGCATCCTCGTCGTGCCCGCGGCCCCGCAGGCCAAGATCCTCTCGCGCCACGGCGACACGCTCGTCGAGTTTGTCAAGGGCGACATGTATCTGCGCGACATGCACAACACGAAGGGGCACGTGTCGGAGCTGACGGCGGGCGCGTGGCACCCGACGGAGCGCGGGGTGGTGGCGACGGCGGGGACGGACTCGACGGTGCGCATCTGGGATGTGGCCAGGAAGCGGCAGCATCGGGATATCATGGTGCACAAGAGCCGCACGGGCAAGGGCGGGCGGAGCAGGATGTGCTGTCTGGCGTGGGCGGGGGGCAGCACGGGCGGGCTGAACCTGATTGCGACGGTGGCGCTGGATGGCGTGCTGGCGCTGTATGCGGGCGATGGGCCGTATAGCCGGCCGGCGATGGAGGTGCGCGATGCGCATAGGAGGGAGACGTGGACGGGCGGCATTGCCTTCTCGCATGATGGGCGCATGCTGGTGACGCGGGGGCAGGACGGGGACATAAAGCGTGGGTTTGCCCCCTTTCTCCTTTTTCTTTTCCGCCATAACGGTCATCCCGATCATTTCCCCCCATCCCGATCATTTCCCCCCATCCCGATCATTTCCCCCCATCCTGACCATTACCTCTCTCTCTCTCTCTCTCATAACAAAACTAACACCCCCCCCACAGTCTGGGACACCCGCAAGCTCAAAACACCCATCACAACGCGCACCGACTTTCCCACCCCCCTGCACCCGGAAGCCAACATCGTCTTCTCCCCCAACAGCACCACCCTCATCACCGGCGACACCACGGGCACCCTCCACATCCTCTCCGCCGCCACCCTCCGCACCGAGCACGCCCTCCCCGTGACCCCCGGCTCCCCGCTCATCGCCGCAACCTGGCACCCGCGCATCAACCACATCCTCACGGGCTCCGCCAACGGCGAGATCCACGCCCTCTACTCGCCCACCCTCTCGTCCAAGGGCGCGCTCCTCGTCGTCGCAAAGGCCCCGCGAAAGCGCCACATCGACGACACGACCGAGACGGCCGCCGTGTCTGGCGACGCGGTCATCCTGCCGAACGCCATCCTGGGCACGGGCGGCGGCGCGGGGCGGAGGGGCGGCGGTGGCGGTGGTGCGGGCGGGGAGAAGGATCCGCGGAGGCCGGGCAGGCCCGCGGTCACGCCGTGGGGGAAGAGTCAGCCGGATCAGGGGCACATTGAGAGTAGTATTCCGCTGGCGAGTATGAGGGATGAGGATCCGAGGGCGGCGCTGCTGAAGTATGCGGAGGTGGCGGAGCGGGAGCCGATGTTTACGGCGGCGTGGAGGGAGACGCAGCCGGTGACGGTGTATGCGGAGGTTGAGGAGGAGGAGGAGGAGGAGGTGAAGGGGGGGGAGAGGGGGAAGAGGAGGAGGAGGGGGTAGGGGGTGGGTGTGGTAGGGTAGGGTAGGGTAGGGGGGAGGGAAAGGGGGGGGGTAAAAAGTTAAATTGTGATGGTTGTTTTTTTTTTTTTTTTGTGTGTTTGGGCTTTTGGCTTATTTGGCATGGTTTTCTTTTTTTTCATCGCTTTTCTTTTCTTTTCTTTGCATTGCTTTGCTTTGATTGTGGGTTTCTTCTGCGTGTATAGTAAAGTAGCCTAGAAATGCATAAGTATGTAGTTAGCAGTAATCTATAGACACGATTGCCATCCGTCCAGCCTTCTATTCCAGTTCCAGCCCTCCAGCCCAGCCTCTCGTAACTAACTATAAAGACCGAAGCAGCCGCGCGATCATTACCAGACTACATACCGTCCGTAACCCCCCCCCCCGGGGCCTGAAAAAAAAAACCTACAAGCACCCACTACGAGCGAGTTACAAGCACCCCAACACCCCTCCCTCCCTCCCCACCTACACACACTCTGCCACCACCACCACCAGGTCCATCCGCGGCGCACCCCGGCCTCCGGAGCGCGGATCACAGACCATCACTCGATCGGCCATCCACCCCCACCAAGACGGGCTTAGCCCATCCCATCCCATCCCATCGCTCACGTCTTCATTGCCCCTCCCCCCCCCCTCTGTGACTGCGACTGTGGCTGTGGCTGTGGCTGTGGCTGTGGCTGTTACGTATAACAGGCATGACAATGTGGTGGGTTTGCATGAAGTAGCCTAGGCAGCTGCAGGATATGGGCCGCGTGCGGCCGGCTAGCTATGGTGTATGTGTAGAGGTAGCTCTGCTTCTGCTTCTGCTTCTGCTTGCTTATATATATGGCACAAGTATGTAGTCTTGCATCTATGTTGGGCGTAGGATGGGGGTTCAACATGTAATACACCCACACCCACACCCACACCCACACCCACACCCACACCCACACCCACACCCACGAGCCATGCCCCCCCCCCCCCAACCACGCGCCTAAATCGCTGGCAAAATCGGCACATATATATACGTCTATCTACTCTACTGTAAAAGAACATGGTCTGAAAAAAAAGGTTCCGACGGGGTGGGGGGGGGGGGGGGGGGTGGAGAGGGAGACCAAATTATGAACGAGAAGCTACTATATAAGATAATTATAACCAATTAGGCTGCTAGCTGCGGTTATGGGATGGGGGGGCCAGAGGCTAGCTAGAGCTCTGATCGATATCACACACACACACACACACACACACACACATACCCCGCCGGCCACTAGCTAGGCCGCCGGCCCCTAGCTCGGGCCAATAAATGTTTTTTTCAAAAAGTGATGCTTATGGGTTGTATATGTACCAGCTTCACCGCCGCGGGGGGGGGGGGGGGGGGGTATCGGCCCCAATACAGTACTGTGGGCTACAGTTTTTTTCCCGCCAATAGTATACACCCCGCAGCTAGTAGCTAGCCCATTCAACACTCCCACCACCCCCCCAGGAATCGAGCCCTGACCTACTTACTGATGGTCATGGGGACTCGATCATGATCAACACGCTCGGTGTAGCTAGTGCAAGACGAGCTGTACTGTCTACCCCCCCCCCCCCCCCCCCTATAAACCTAGACTACACTCGCCGGCCAAACACCAGTACTAAATGCCATGCAAATATCAGTAGTAAATCCAGGTCGTAAAATACCAATACAAATTGCCCGCAATACTAATTAATACTACTAGCAATTACCAATAGCAATAGCAATACCAATATTTAGTAACAACAGTAATAATAGTAAAATAAGTTCCTTATACGCCACACGAGTATACCCCCCCCCCCAAAAACCGGGTGATTCCCCATGACTGAGCGCTCCCCCCCACCCCCCCCCCCCCCCCCCCCCGCGGCAACTCCACCCTCGGTACGTGCCGCGGCGGGAAAGACCCGTTTTCTACAATATCACTCGATCCCAATAAGACACCCCGTGCCGGACCGCGCATTAATCTATTTTTAACCTTTGAGCCATCGATCACTAGAGAAGCTCTCATCTCTAGCACTTTACTAGTCTGGTCGTGGGTTGCGGTGTTGCATCAATTGGACCGCCCATTGCTTACACATGAGTATTCTAACTCTCCAGCTATAGCTAGCTACATGTAGCTACCATACTGTCTCTCACCTAACCGGCAAGCCGCACCACCTTACCTCGCCAACAGCAGGAAGCAGCCAAATAATCATTTCAGCCTACCTACTCATAGCACACACAGCAAGCACAGCAACAAGCATCTTCAACATAACCCTCAAATTGCACTCCCCCCGCACACACGCACATGCGGCACATCTATCTAACATCCCTAATTTCCAAGGTCCATCCATCCATCCATCCGTTTCCGAATCCTAATCTAACATAACATATGATATGCCAAACAAAAAAAAAAAAGGCAAGAGAGAGAGAGATGCGTGCTAAAAAGGAAAAAGAAGAAAAAGGGTATTAAAAAGGAGTATCAAAAACTCACCACAAGAAAATAGAAGGGAAATGAAAAAAAAAAAAAAAAAAAAAAAAAAAAGCCAAAGGAAAATATGGATATAAAGAAAGGAAAGAAAAAAGGGAAAAAAAAAGAATACAAATTAAACGCCTCGCCCCCCCGACCCCCCGACCCCCGGACCCCCAAACCACTCAAATCATAAACGTTTTTTCTCTCTTCTCAGTCAGTTCGCTCCTCCACCCCACTAAACAATAGTAATTTCAAACAGAAAGGTCCAACCAGAAAAAGAGTGCATAGAAGACAGTGAAGAAGAAGAACAACAAATAAAGGAGCAAGAAATGTACGCCGCAGGTGCAAAGAACGTCAGCACCCCATAGACGGCGTCTACATACCCTCTCACACCAGCGTCCACACAACCATCCACAACACCCACCCTGCTGCGCCCAGCCCCACGCTCCACCCTCTCCCGGCCGCACTTAAGAAGTACACCGCACCCAAATAACTACAGGTGACGTCACCATCACCGTCCCGGTCGCCATAGCTCTGCTCGCCCCCCGCCTGCTTCATGTTCGGGCACGAAAAGCCAAACGTCGTTGGGCAGCTCTGCACAAGCGTCCAGCACAGGTCCATGCACGGCTTAACCTCCTTATAAGGGCCCGGCCGTATTACCTGGTCAATCTGTTTATTTCGACTGGCAACGCTAGTCCCAGTCGTGTTTGTGTGTGCGGCGAGCGACGCCGGGGATAGCGTCGGCGAATATGGGTGCAGCTGCAAGCCTTTGTCGGTGGCGTTATAGAAGAGCTCATTTGATGCGCGCTCAGCGAGGTATGGGAGTGTCGATGAGTAGTCCATGCACCGCGGGATGGTCACCGCGCACAGCCAGTTTTTGTACGCGGCGGCGCAGTCATCGCATGTGCGTGCGAGCGAGTAGGCCGAAGACTTGCTGGCATTGCACGGAACCTGCTGCAGCGAGTAGCTAAAGTTCTTGTACCACGATACGGCGATGTTGTCGTAGAAGGACGTGAGCTGCTCGATGCCGAAAAGGGTGGGGTTGCTGGGCACTGCGTATGCGACTTCGCTGCAGAAGGGGAGGTTGTAGATAATCTGGCAGTTCCCGTCGCCCTTGGTGTTAATACGCATTGCACGCCAGACTGTTCCCGAGGTGTCGTCCGGGTCTGAGCCATTTCCGCCGGGGCGGGTCAGGAACCCAATATATGTAGAGGAGCTGTTGAGTTCCCGGAGGTGGAACTGCTCCTTGGGGAGGTTACCCAGCCCCCGGCGAGTCATGGATACGTCGGAGGTGCTGGTTTGGGCGAGCCCCTTCACGGCGCAGTAAGAGCGCTCAAGCCCATTGAAGCGGGACTGCACGCCGGTATTTTGCGCGTACATTTTGTAGGGAGGAGTGCGGGTCATGAGCTCGTCGCCGTCTACGTCTTCGTCAAAACCGCCCTCGCGGGAGGAGGTTGTAGTCATGTTCCCTGTGATGAGCAGCGCGGAGCTGTCGTCTGTGTCGATAAGATAGAGGAATTGGTCCTCGATGTATTGGTGATACGGCCTGGTGGTGGAGAGCACAATCTCGTAGTTCCAGATATCAACCCATTCGTCGGTATCGTCAACAGTAGGGGCGTAGACACCAATCCACGTCGAGCCGGATGTCGTGATTGTGAGATTTCCAAAACCACCAATAATCGGTATCACGGTCTGCGGCTTGTCAGTAACTGCCGGCCCTGGGGCCTGATTCTCGCCGGTGTTGGACATGAAAACCTGGAGCTCTGGAGGTGGTGCTATGGGGCGCTGCGACTCCGGAAGGTCCTGATTTGGTTGGGGCTGTAGACATGTATTGAACGTGATGTAGAGCTCCACGGCATTGTCGTCTTGTCGTTTTTCGTTCCCATTCTCCCCATCCCTCTTCCGTAATTCACTTCCAGCGCCCCGCTTAGCGGTAGTCGAGCCGTAGAGATCGTTCGGCTCCAAAAGCCAGTAGTTGATTTCCCCAAACTGGAGGTTATACCGTCCAGGAACACCGTTCCCCAGCCCTCGAACGATCTCATTATCCCTCGTCCTCAATTCCTGAAGGTCCTGTAGTTCCAGTATCTGCTCATGCCAGTCATCAGTATCGTCAACATCGCCTCCACCAGCTGCTCCTCCTCCGCGGCAGTCCTCATCCAACGGTGCACAAAAGTCGCCATTCAGCTCCAAACCCCCCAAAGTTTCCAACCCAGGCAGTCGAACACTGGTATCGAACGAGTACGCTGATCTCGGGTTTGACACAAAGAACAGCACGAGCACAAGCAAAGTCGTAGCAAAAAAGGACGCGAGGAATTTTGATTGTAGCGGCGTGAGGCTAAACGAACATGATGATAGTGACAGCGAGGGCATTATCGTCCAAGAACGCAGCTAGGCTCCTTCCTCCTTCCCTCACACTCGACTACTTCTGCACTCCTCTCTCTCTCTCTCTCTCTCTCCTCCGCTGTGTATGGAATTCGCCGGGGCCAACCAGCACACTCAACAAATGGCACGGGGGGGTAAAGGGCAGAAAAAGAGAGGCTGCAACTGGTTGACGTTTATCGGAGGTTGGCTCGCGTGGGTTGCGTAAGTCGTGTAAAGTGGATGGGGGTGGGTGAATGGGTGAATAGGTTGGTGAGTTTGTGCAGGAGACAGATATTTGATAAGAAACAAAAAGATAGATTGATTTTCTTGCGCCTGCGCAATGTTGAATCGGTCTCCTGAAAAGGAACTGTCTGTATCGGGCGCGGGGGGGGGGGGGGGGGGGCAGGATTACAACGTAATGCAGCACGGGGGGAAGTGGGTGGGTGGGTGGGTGGGGCCCAGCTTCCAATGCAGGAGGAAGGGTATCAAGTCAAGGGTATCACAGACAGGTCCTGGAAAACTCGGGAGTGAGTGAGTGACAGCCAGGAAGTATGGATGTGGATGTGCTAGATCTAGCCGGTGGACAGATTGGCCAATAGCAGTTGAGTGTAGCAGATATATAGATGGCTGTTTAAAGTAGATACCCAACTTTATTCCCTTCTACAGTACTTGTGGTACCTTATTATATGTGTATGCTCGACCCCACAAACACGGGGGAATGAAGAAAGAAAAACATGCCCTCGTCGTCGTCGTCGTCTTCTTCTTCTTTCTCACAGCCGCAGCCAAACAACCCTTCCAAAAAAAGAACTAACACCCTGGCTACAGAGCTAATTACCAGGGTCCAGCTGCCCAGCATCTCACCCCCCTGCCAAGAAATCAAGGACCCAACGGCCAACGGCCAACGGGGGAATTACGGATATGTCAAGCACATCATCATCATCCATCACCAACAGACAGGCAGCCCTAATACATATGTTCCGAATTCCGAATCCCGAGTACTTGGTTGGACACGATCTGAGGATTCAAATGTGAGTGATCACCACCAGCACTCTATTTTGTTGTTGTGCGAAGACGTCTCTATCGTCGGACGGCTTTAGCTGGTTGGACCAACTTCCCCCAAGTCTCAACATCTACTTTAGTACATGTAGTTAGCTGTACTCCCAAGAACACCGCTGTGATGCCTACGCGTAACACTAAGCTGCTTCTTCTTAGACAAAGACCATGATGGACCGGGCAATTTTACAGCACTGACCTCACGATGGCGCCATTGCCCGTCCCTTCCATTTCCGCGCTGCCAAACAGTTGTCTCATAGTCTATTTTGAGTGCATAGAGTTCACTCCCCTGCAATTAATCCGTTCTTCCGCTATGTCCCTACAGTGTAGCATCTGTGGAGTGATGTAGCTTCTGTTGCAAATATACCGCCGATTCAATTATGGAACCGAAGAACGTGCACATCTCCATCATAACACCGACAGGCCTTATCCAATATAATATGGCGAGCGCTGTAGTGATCACATAGCTTGGTGCGAGTAAGGATAGAAACGAGATTACGACCCCACCAGTTCGTAACACCAAGCTTAATTAAACTGGCAAGTGAAGATGATTTATACAGAGCTCGATGGCCCCCATGATCTCATATTCCTACAGGATCTTTAAAATGGAGGATAAAGGCCACGTTGATGGATCCAAGGAAAATTAATCCAGACGAATAATCTGACACTTTAGCAATCAAAGTACCGGGTGTCTACATATGTACATAGTTAGCCATATCTCAATCTCAAACCCCTTGTCCGATAACCGTGACCACCTGCTACTGAAACGTTAGATACATGTACTTATACAACATCTACATAAAGTACATGTATTACTAACATCCGTACATACATGTACATGTATGTGCAAGACAGCCAAGGCCGATGGCCCAATGTGGTCGTTACAGTACCGGGGTTGCAGTCGAGTGATCAGTCGTGACCAACATCCCCTGCATCTCCCACCCACATCGGCCAACTTGCAACTTGGCTCCTCACACGCACACACATCCCAACAAAAGTTGTTACTCAAAACTCGAGCCTAGTCCTCTCCTGTAGATGATAGGCGTGGGATTACCCGTATTTATGACTAGCTATACTGTTAACTAGATGAACGTATCATTCTCTTGTGCATACACAATAAACTAGCAGACAGAAGCACTTATGACCAACCAGCGGAGTCATCTTTGATCCGATAAAAGCCGACACTGCAAGCTCGAAACTACATTCACCACCGTCGGTAAGATTTCGCCTAATGGCCATCTATAAAGCAGCATTCTTCCACCCTCCATCATCTCCCGTCGCATCCGGATATCCGTGTTATTCACCATGGGTTATTCTACCGCAGAGACCTTAGAGTGGGATAGTGTGTAGGCTTCTTTTCATGGGGCTCAACTCGATTCCAGATCCTTCTTTTCTTTATTTTTTCTCTGGCTATTTGCAACAGGTGAGGAGGGATGGTTGGCACGTGGTCTTCTCGCTTGGTTTTTGTGGGGCCGGTCGGGTTAATTTCTGCGGGTGCCCAGCCTCAACTCTATGGGTCGACCGACCCCTGCGGACACCAGTACTTGCGCCTCTTCCTTTCTCTTCTATTTAGCCATATATACACTTACGGGGGAGTACCCGGTTTGCGTGGATAAGCTTCTGTAGCACTCCCAAGCCCGAATAGCCGGGACCTTTTTATCTACAATCCAGGCCGCTTCATACCCGCCACTATCGGCAATGACAGTGCCAGTAGAGCCGGCCCGTTCTCAGGTTCTGCGGGTTGGTCTTCATGTATGATATGTGAAGTTTATACACGGATATGTTGCGAGTGATACCTTGTGATTCATGGCCGTATCCGAAGTTAAAGTTGCCTTTTTGAAGCTAGTGTTAGCGGAGGGGGCAAGGAAGAGAAGGGGATTCATGTGGTAGTGACTTGGTCCACTTGTTCTTGTGAGGGTACGAGTTGTTCTCAATAGTGTAGCAATAGGCACCTGCGTGAAGTAGTTGCTTGTCCTTATGCTACTACTTGAATGCCGTCAATATGAGAGGCCATAGGGCAAGATGTGGTTCTTGACGATTACCAGCTTTGACAGTAGCAGTGACAGTATAGAGTGTGGTCGTAGTGGTGGTGGTGGTGGTGGTGGTGGTGGTGGTGGTGGGTATGAGACTTGAAAAGCGTGTCTTATCAGAGTGAGGTGACCTTTGGGTAGAGCGATCGTGTTACCCGGTGGGCTTAAACTAGTACGTACAGCCATTTCGCAAACCGGCAGCCAGTTCCTCGACTCACCTCCCCATCTCAAGTTGATTAAGGCCATTCCGTACACCTAGTACCGTACCAAAAGACACAAACTATGAGAGATTCTCTTCACTGGCCTATTTGTGAGCCGTCAATCTTACCGTTCAACGAACGGTATATATATAGTGGAACCTACCATCATCTACGTACCGTTTGATACGTCAATATTAGTCGATAGTTGATGTGCCTTCCAGTATTCAACTTTGAGGATGACGATTCATGGGTATCAGCTTTATACCTCACCTCGAGCGATGTTCCTAGATGTCGGTAGAGACCGGCTGCCTCCGCTAAAAGGTCTGTCGGAATTATTGCACACACTCTGCCTTGCCTCGACAGGTCTCGCTGGCTACACTGAATATTGATGTGTTGGCCTATCAGAACACCCCACAGTGAATGAAGCACAATTTATATCAAAGGGATATCCTTGACGAGGAATTCCGAATAATCCGGATCCATAAAGTCACGAGGTTCCCTATACGCCAATATCTTTGACCTACCAATATATGCTCATACTATCCTGCCCGCTAGTGCCGGCGGATAAGCACTGTTATGAATGGGCTAGAAGCAACATGCTCAAGTGAGGTGTGGGTCACAGTATATCACTCGCTACCGACAACGCTTGGCTTTTTTACTAGATTGGATGGACCCTGTAGAATATGTCTGAATTTCAACTATCGATTGTTCCTCCTCTAATTCCTTCTTAGGCAGTCGGTCATAGGCGAGGGGGAAGATATCTTAAACGGAAAACTCTACATCTGATATGAGCGTTGGTGGTATATACTAATGGAATGTAACTGGAGGATAGATGTATATATAGGCTCCGATCGGTATCGTGTCTTCATCTACACGGGACGGAGGTCTAGCTATCATATTATTACTCCCACCTCCACCACGTCTGTGGGTGAGCCACCCCTCAGATCGCGTCCTTGTCCTATATTTCCCGGCCTCAGGACCAATCTCTTTATGTGGATCCTACCTGTGTTAGATGAAAGCTGGTATGGTTGGATTAGCCAATAGGAGTCTTTTGTGGTGGCGGAGTTGTCCCTGGCTCTTCTAGAAGCCAGGCTGACACTTCTTTTCTTTTGCCAAATAATCACGCATTCGACCCCTCCATCATATCACATCATGCATTATACCCCCCGAGTGAGACATGTACGATATGGATGTGGAGCCATAGCCAGGTATGTAGGTCAGTGCGCGCATGAGAGTGAGAGATGATGATTGACTACATGTAACTACATAGGTACAACAAAAACCAGACCAAACGGCGGCCTAGATAGATAGAATTCACACCCACCTAGCTTCTCCATATTACTAATAACTAGAGGTACAAATTCTACCCGCAGCAAGCTTAAGAACAGACACAAAAAGAAGGGCAAGAAAAGAATATGAAGGGAAAGGTAAAATAACATGCATCATAATTACATCCCTTGGTTTTCCTTCCTGAGCGCGCCGCGATCATTTCATTCAAGGTCAAATAACACCCCCCTGCCGACCGACCAACCGACCGCCCACCAGAAACAAAATGTAATTTGTGAAAACCACAGACAAAAAAAGTATAAAAGAGAAGTGGTAAAATAAAGGTATCAAGAAAGAAAAAAAGATAGAACAGGTCCAGGGAGGAAAGATAACCCAGGTATTCAAAAACATCCCAAAGTTTAGCTAGCAGTAAAGGGTATTTCAATCGAAGGTACGAAAAAAATAACAAGGGGTGGCATAAGGTGAGGCGAAGGGGAATAAGAAAGGCCATTAGCTTTGTGCTTGACCCAAAAACCAAATTATATGATTCCCCCCTATGCCCATTGAACGCTGTGTCCGCTTTTCAAGAAAAAGAAAAAGGAAAGGATAAAACCGCGAACCCAATGCTATAATTAATACTTAAACAATTTCCGTCCGTCTTAGGGCTTGCCCCTTCTAACGATGACCAGCGCCATTTGTCCCTGGCCCTTTCCCTGTCAAAATTTCCATGTATTTTTCGTAATCGAATCCCTCCTCCTCCCTCTCTTCATCACCATCCTCGACCTTGACACGGACCTTTGGCATCGTTTTCACGAGCTGCTCAATCATTCCATCCGGTATCAAAGAGTGGCGTAGGTCCACCTCGGTTACATAAGGCTTGCCATCGGCAACTTCTCGGAAACTCTGCCATACTTGCTCCGCTGAGTTCTGGTCCTCTGTTACTTCGACCATGAAGCGGATAAACTGCTCAAACGTCACTGACCGGCCGCCGCAGCTTACGGTATTGAAGACGCTGTGCATTTCTTCCTCATCATAGACCAAACCGAGTGATGCGAGGGCAGCAGAGAACTCAAGCTCGTGGAGAGAGTTAGAGAGATCACGGTCGAAGTGGCGGAACACAGATTCAAACTCTTCCAGTTGAATAGGCGTAAGATTTGTCATGTTCCGGGCGACAATCTGGTTATCTAAGAAAGATAGCTTCTTGGCAACACTTTCCTTTGCAAGCCCGTATTCGTATTCAAGCTCGTCATATGAGTACACAGTGTAGTCATTTTCTTCAATATTGGCCTCTTCGCAGTCTTCTGTTAATTTCTCAATGCGGTCGAGCTCAAGTTCGAGGGGAATAATGTTGTTGTGGAGTGTGCGAACTATTCGGAGTTGGTACTATAGTAGGCTTGTCAGCAACAAGTCCGAGTGAGCATTCATGAAAAAAGTGGTTGCAACTAACCTCGGGTTCTCCGTCAAGTTCGCTGATTTGAAGCGATACGGTATTTAAGCATAATGCAAACTCATTTGCAGCGTTGGCAAATTCTCGACGCAGTCCCTCTTTGATATCCCTGATTTTCTCGTTTATCTGCATACTCCTCTTGCCCTCAAACTGAAGGAGGATTTTCCATTCTTTGTCCAGATTCGCCAAACTCAACCCAGCGGGTGGATCGTAGTCTTTCAATCGATAGGTACTCAACTTGGTCTTAATATTACCCAATAAACTTACCAAGTCCGCCTTCTCCGCCACCCACGCGCGCTTCAGCGTCCGTTTATAGGCACCAAAATTGGCATATTGGCTCTTTGCGTCCGCATATGTTCCCGAGAATTTTGCGGTGGTCCACGTATTGCGAACTTCGTTAATCTGCTTAAGCAGCTCGGTCATCCGTTTTTCGAAATTATGTTGCATACTCCATGCCCCTTGCATAACTTCTACGAATTTCTCAACCCTACGCCCAGCAGTCTCGATTCTGTCAAGTTGCGAGAATGCGTGAAACCAGTAAGCGATGTAGGTCATCAAGGATTTTTCATCCGGCCTAGCGACATCGCAGACATCCTCAACATCGAGAAGGGCGGGGATGCCGATTTCCTCGGTTGCGATGCGGAAAGCGAGGGCAGTGTTCCCCCTGTGGTCAGATTTGTCCAGAGCATCGTAGTCGATCAAATCCGGTCTGTGGATATCCAAGAGGGCGCAGCTGTTTATTTTGTTAGTGTAGCTCACAGGGAGGGGGGAGGAAGCTGCTTACAAAGCGAGACCATTATTCCATGAACTCGAGAAGTCGCGGATATCAACCTCCTCATAGCATGCCGTCTTACGCTGGCACCAGAGTAGTAAACCTTCCTTAGCTGTTAAACCTTCCTCGTTGATGTTGATCGTGAATCGTAGAATCAACATCCATAGCAGACCCAGGATAAGCTTGAGATTCCCATCTACAATATCTTCGGCGCCGATGTTCAAGAGTTGAATCCCGCGGCCACGGATATACTCGAGCGCCTTGTGGACATTCTCGCACATTTGCACTCGTAGTCGAGGGTTCGAAGCATACTTCCCCAGTGATTCATTGCCGAGGATTTCTAGGAGGTGGATGAGTAGTACCTGTCAGGTTGGCTCGCTACCAGGTCAGTCACCCCACCATTGTTTGTTTGTTTATCGCGCGCACATGCGCCACGTGAAGAAGGGTGGGACAGAGCAAGGAAAGGAGGGCGCAATACCCCTGTGGCAAGATCTTTCTGCAAAGAGTTTGCGGGAGGAATGTTCCTAATTGCAAGTTTGGAGTTGAGCCTGAAAACATTGGTTCAATACCACCATCAGTCACAGTTCACATCTGCCAGTCCTCATTCAGGGGAAGGATAACGCAGCGGATGGAGGGGAAGCGGGGCGGCGATAACAGGGGGGGGAGCATACCATTTTCTGAAGGTCTTGTCCTGGGTGACGATCCACTGCTGTTGAGCCATCTGTGAGTAAAGAGAGAGATGATTCTCGAGCGAAGAGATGGGAGGAGTGATGAGAGAAGAAGGGGTGAAAGTAGGGGAATTGTAGATATCAGCTTTTCTAACTGCACAGCGGAAAACAAGCCGTGGAGCAGCAGCAGGCAGCTTGTTGGGTGTTACGGACGGGGGTGAGCTTTGCAATTTGGGGATGTGTGGTTGATTGGTGCCGCCTGGAGTTGCCTGATGATGAACCCTAACCCTGAGATCAACTTGTTTCGCGTTTCGTCTCCACCTTTTCATGCATCTATCTGCATAGGTGCTCGGGTCGGTACTTTAGTGAAAAGGCCACACCACTTCCCTGTCTAGACGCCCTCAGTCGCCCTATGCCCTTGTTCCAGTCAGTTTGCAGATGCTAGTCAGAGGTTCATCTTCACCGGACCTCCCTAGGCAGAGAAGTTGTTTACCTTCCTACAGAAGACTTGCCATCCTGAAACGGTCCGAAGGCGAAGTGCTTCATGGATATGCAACTTATTTTGTATCGGTCCACTCAAAGCTCCTTCCTTATTCCAATAACTTGGCGGCTGTCTGCATCCAATCGGCTCGGAAATAATATAGACATGCCTGCAAATTCGTCCAGGAGGTTGATTCAAAGGAACCGCAATCACTTAATATTGCATGCATAGGGTGGAGATTCGATCTACTTAAGTATTTTGATTTTGATTCATGGCCAGTTATAGCGCCAGCAAGCAAGAGCATTAGTCACTTCTAACATCCAGGAGCAATCGGGGACGCCTACCAAACCCAAACAATACTAAAAATACAGTTACGGCTGTAGTGTGAAAGAAAGAGCTTCATTCAGACACTTACGTACATGTAATTTATCTTTGAATAGATCTTTTCTGCATAACATACATGTATGTATTCCCCAGCTTTGGCTATAGTTAATTACTAAACTCACAAATCACCCTTAGCCTTGGTCTACTACACTAATGTACTATTTACTCTACCCAAATATGTGCTCTTATTGGACGGAAGGAAAAATTTAACGTTCATCTCAGGTTTAATTAACAGGACCATAGATTGATACAGTGTCGTTACGTGTCATTGTATATAGACAAAAGCTTTCGAAAATCAATCGTTGAAATTGGGTAAATGTCTCCTGGTAGTACTATAGTGAAAGGAGGTATTTGTAAATTTTCATATGATGAGATCAATGATTGTTAATACGCATCTAGACTCTGTAGCAATAACCCAAACCATCTTAAACTACATGGAAGGTTGCCATTCACAGATTATCACTCGATCGTTATGCGGCCAGAGATACATGTATGCCATAAGTCGTGTCTACATGTACATGCACCACGGCAGAGCCTAGGGTGGATTCACGGAGTCGGAGGTGTGGATGGGTCGGGCCTTAGTATATGTGCTACAGTTACGTACTGTATGTCCTCTCCCACATAATCGGTGATACCGCATCATGTATGTATACGTTGCATGTAAAGTATACATCATGTGCAGTCATCTCAAAAGTTTTCGTGTTCGGGGATTGAGATGGTTAAATTTACATGTAGTTAACTGTATCCGTGACTGTATTCGTGCCTCAAAATTAACGCTTCCTATATCCTGATGGTTTGAATTATGTGCATGTAGTTGGTGCGTTTTACACTTCCCAAACTCCTTGTGAAAACGTCATCATGGCATGGTTGATCGAGAGCGGTTAACCACACCACTAGCGACACCTTTAACTTTGGGTTGGCGACGGTCCCCAGGGTCTTACAAATAACGTACATGTACGTGGTTTCTTGTCCCTTTGCTTGCTCGTTCCAGCTAATACCAACCATAAATGCGGCCCCCGTGAGTAATGGAGATACGTGTTTGTAACTTCAAGTCTCATTTCATTTCCCGATAACTTTATAAAGCGGCTGTGATCCTGCTTTGTGTATCTCAGTGGTCCCGCTAGGTCTATGTTCAGCTGCGTTACACGTGCAAATTCCCACTATTGGACCATTTCTACTCTTACTTATATCACTCTACACATTCCTAGAGGCCACCTTTTATCATCACAATCAATAACCATGTTTTCTCTCTTCAACCTAAGGTATATGTATTTCATTATCGAAGCTTTGCAAACTTCCATATCCATAATATCTTTATCCCGGCTCAAGTTTAGAGTCGTCCAACAACCTTAAGAGGAAATATCGGGGGAGCCGAATTATAATTTAGATACAGAAGTGATGCTGATTGCCCCTTGAAGTTGATGTGATTTTATATCTTCACCCTATTAATAGCTCGAGTGGCCGTGTCCATCTAGCTCTCTAATTATCAACTTTCAGGTCTGCCTCTTGGATAAAAATAGATCTTTTCCAAATTAGAATACAGATATTGGAGACAGTCACATAGAGAGCTGGTTTTAATATATGGGGGTTTAAATATGCGATTTAATAAGGTATGTATGTACTTCTATGCCATATAATTCACTGCATGCACTATCCTCCAAGTATATCTCCTAGACGACTGAAACGGTTACAGTAACATTATTAGTTTGGTCAGTCCTCGGCCAGAACTCGACTATCACGGTATTAGCATATATCTATTCGACAAATGGAATTTCAGTGTGATCTTACAAGTAAAATCAACGGCTTGTCCTGAACTCTTCACTATATTCAAAATGGAGGAGTAAAGGACTAGGTTGTTCCCATTGGTTCCAAAGTCACCCCAATTGATGCGACTGCGTCTACGTTAGCGATAGCTAAGGGGGTGAGATATGGGGAAATTACGCTTGCTGTAGAGGCCCGTTCCACTGTGTCCAGTCATCCTTGAGGTATACGCCGTCCTTCCTAACTGCCTTAACAGTCGCTAATTTTGCTCCATTCCACACAACTGGGATGCTCAAATCGGCCGTGCTCGTAAGTTCGTATACGTTCTGAGCCACAGTTGGAGTATCGTACACTGTGACCTCAAGTGGAAGCTGAATACCAGCTGAACTCTTGACTGTTAATGTATCCCTCACACCGACAGCTGGATTACTGGTAACCTTGTCAAAATACGCCGACGTGAGATTGAACCCCGTTGCGGTGGTAATGTAGTCAGTTCCTTTCTTCAGCGTGCTACCTTGATTACTGACAACACTCCTCAACACGTTCTCGTTGTACTCCAAGTTCACCTGTGCTGCTGCCCCAGCGGATTGTCCCTTCTTTACCCAGATTGTGGCAAGCTGACCATATGCAGGTAGAGTATTCGGAATATCCTTCACCGCATTCTGAATGATTGCCAGTTTAACTGGATCTCTCCATTTCTTATTAACGCGATCATAATGATCGTTTCCGTTATCCCAGAGCTGTGCACCAAGCTCATACTTCTTACTTGTGCGGACGAAGAAGTCAAAGTAATTCCATGCCGCTCCGTTTTCCACCGACGTTCCCGTGAGACCCCACTCACCGATCATTGCAGGAGCCTGGAACTTTGTTTGAAGTGCAATAAAAGTATCTTCAATCGCCTGTTTATCGGCGGCCGTTCCCCAAAAGGTGCGACCCCAGGAGGTAGAGACGAAGTCCCAGGGGTCATAGTCATGGACATGGAGGATGTAGTTGGAGGCATTGGCCGGCTCGACGAACCAATCAACCGTGCGTTGGATGTTTGTGTTCAAGCCGGGGAGGGTGAGGAGGCGATCGGCATTGTAACCACCGGAAGAGCGGACGATATTGACAAAACGTTGATTTGCATCGTTATATCTAGGTTGTATTAGTAACAATAATGATAATAGCACAAATAATTGACTTACTGTTCGGCATTCTCTTGACTACTGCTACCAGCTGGTTCGTTCAAAGGCTCAAGAATGAGTTTCTCAGACTTTGACTTGAACCGGTCCGCGATCTGGAGCCAAAGTTTCTCAAACTTGGTCTTCCTCTCTTCGAGAGTTTCCGGTTCAATTGTAAAGTCTGCCCATTGCCAGCTGTCGTGGTGGACATTGAGGACTACCCAGAAACCTTTACTAAGAGACCAATCCACGACCGTCTCAACACGATCCATCCATGTTGCATTAACAATATCTATGCCCAACGTCAGCACCGGTATTGAAAGCTCATGTAGTGGAAAGCTATCATGACATACAGTCTGGAGCTTGACTTGCAAAGTGGTCGGTCCATGTTACGGGAATACGGACGGACTTGAAACCGGCTCTTTTGATCTCGTCGAATGTAGATTCGACCACTGCCGCATTGCCCCAACTGGTCTCATCTGGGATAGCATCGAGAGTATTTCCAAGCTGTGGGAATAATCAGAATGACACTAGTTACTAACTGCACATATGCACTTACATTCCATCCGGGGTTGATTGCAGACCATGCTTCTTCGGCAGTAACAACCCTGAACGCGATGGCAAACTGGGCACCGCCGGCCACAGCAAGAAGAGAGAGTCCTTTCAAGAACATCGTGGGAGTATTGCAAAGTTGGTGAAGAAATTATCTACAACATCTCCAGTTTATAAAGGCCACTGCCCAGAAGTTCTATATTGCATACCATCGGAGTTCAATATGCGATGTCCCGAAATCCTCTTGTCTTCATGGAAGTAAACTGAGGCTACTCCGTTCAGATAGTCCGTCAATTAATTAGGCAGCAATAGAATGCCCGGCTATTACATGGAATTGCACTTGATGTGGAATCTGGGCATTCATGTCAGGTACGAGAGCTTCGGGGTTTGAACCGATGGGGCCGCTGATGAGACATGGATATGCGCTTGGCGAGCATTGCATAAATTGGTCTTGTTATTACACACGATGAGAAGTAGAAGGTAGGTATTCTCTTAGAAGAATCTTGGAGGAATAGTGTCGGTAAAACGGGTTGATTTTGAAATCCTGCCGCCAAATGATTGGGGACTTGATGATACCAATCCTAGGCGTTGTCCCTCTCGCGCCGCTGAAAGTTAAGCTTAATTTGAGGTCCCGGGTCTGCTTTTAGTCCTTTGTTCCTAACCAGAATGAAATTAGTCGAGATTTACGACAATGGGGAAATTTGAACATCATACGATATCACCCGTTAACGTTGTCGCTACTACTACGTGTAGTTTCTATTACCGTCACATAAATACTAGCTAGATGTACATATGTAGGATCTTATGATTTTCTATTACATACAAGAGAGAATCAGATGGCTATTCAGGCCGTGCCTTCTTCGGCGTTCAAACTTCAGTTAGTAATGCAGTCAACATGATCTCCTCACCATTGAATGTGCGTGGCCTATCTAAGAGGGTTTGTGACTGGTGGTTACTTCATGGCTGTGGGTCTAACTAAACAAAGCCCGAATTAACACTATTAATACAATACTTACGCTCTACTCTACACGTTATGTACGTAACCTGTCGCAAAAAGCAATTTTCATACGTACATGTATGCATCATGTACGCGAGGTTTCACCCGCGATGTGGAAATGATGTGTAGGACAAAAGTAACAGATAAAGATAATTCTCGTATTTTATTTCTCTCCATTACAACCACCCCCACGTAACGTGAACATACCCCTGAATTACTACGTTCCCTATTCCGTCCCTTTACACATTTCCCATAATAGTACATGACAAAAGGAAGAAAAACAGAAAAACAATTGCCATTTCAACATATCCCCATTCGGTGTGATGAAGAAGATGTAAAGAGGTGGCTATTATATCTCAATCTATTTTTCGACTCTCTAGAACAGGAATGCAGCAGCAACGGCACCCGCAGCCACAAGACCGAAAGAGGCACCGTTCCTAATAGCATCACCAGGCGCATCACCGGTTGAAGAGGCGCTGGCGGAACTGCCAGCTGTGGTAGAGCTGGTACCAGCGGAGGAAGTTCGGGTGCTGGTGGTAGAAGTTGTGAGGTTATTTGTAGCGGTTGAAGTTGAGGTCAAAGTTCCATTTGAAGCACCACTTGTGACGGCAACAGTAGATGTAGATGTCAAAGTCCCGTTCGCGATTGTCGTTGTAGTAGAGGCAATACCAGTAGTGGTGCTGGAGATGGGGTTTGTGCCATTTGACTGGGCTGAAACCGAGGCAGCGAGGAAGGCGAAGAACGCGAGGAATACGAGGTAGTAGCTTGGAGAAGACTTCATGGCTGCGTTTGTGTTTGCAATGACAGTGTCGCTTGAGTTTGAGGAGGAGGACGACGAAGTAGCAGTAGCAGAGGAAGGATTGGTAGCAGATGGAGTTGCGTCAACTGTTTTTCCTGGCCAGGTGGTTGCTTGGGGTACTCCTGTGATTGTAGTAGGAACGATAACACCGGAGGGAACTGAAATCTGGAGCATCTTGACCACCTCTTTATATCATTTTGCACCTTTCGATCAGCAGTGCTTCTAAAAAAGGAATTATTTTTTCACCAGGGCTGGGCAGGGGATGCCATAATGTGCTGACGAGTCTTTTCAAGAAAGAAATTGTCGCAAATGGATTTTTGAGTGCCGGTGAGGGAAATCCATGCTAAGTGTGGGTGGGAGGGGGATGATAATAATGCAGGTTGCTTACCTGTAGGGGCTGGGTAGGTGACATTGTACATAACTCCACAAACTTTGTAGCCAATACTGATAGCCTCATAACTGAATGTAGATCAGAGAAGTCAGCACTACTACTCTAAAAGGCTCTTGATGAAAATCCTCTTCCAAATAGAGAATTAAAAAACCTACACTGCGGTGTTGTTGTTGCCACACTATTAATAGAAACAGTTATATATATTAGCCTGATAACTCTGTGTGGATAGGAGCAAAGTGTGGCTGGCTGGAAACTTACAGGCTCATTGAAAACACAGTCGGCCAGTTCTTTAACAAAGTCGACATCTGTGCAAATACAACTCATGATTTCGTTGATAGCTTGCAGAGTCTCCTCATCACTCCCGTAGTCGCCACTTTTGATCATATCAGCGTATTGTGAATTATCCGTGAGTTGCTCCGTGACACACTAGATGCCCGGCACCGGGTGATTATCAGCCCCAGTTAGGTTTATAAGGAGGTCATGTGATGAGGCAGTAACGCAATTGGGCATACCTGAGGCAGTTCACTTCCAGAGCCGTATTTCTCCAGTGCAGGGCATTCGTACATGCAATCTGGTGCCTGGTCGGCCTCGCTGATGGTAATACCATTAATGGTTTCTGTCGAATCGTCCTCACTCTGCGCGGCTCCATTTACACTAGAAATTACAGAGAAGGATGCCAGAAGGATAGTCAATAGGCGCGGGGCGCTAAGTAAAGAGCGTTGAGAGACCATATTGTTGGCGGTTGATTTTATTATTGTTGTTGGATTAAGTTGATTGATATTAACGAATGAATCAGATCAGTAAATCTCAAAGGAATGTGAATACCGGCCAATGTAACGAATGATGGTGCCGAAAAAAAGGTAATATAGAAGGAGCGAAATTCGGGCTTCTTATCCTTTTTCTAAGCGCAAATAAAGAAGCTTAAATTCCTCAAGCTATCACGCCTCCGTGAAAAAGGAGGAGCCAAGGTAGTACAAGCATCCTATAAGGGAAGTTGGAGGTATCATGAAATTCGACGTTAAACCCCCTCGTGCTTGCGACTGGTTGGAAGTGAGTTGATTTAGCCTAGTACATGTAGCTAGTCCTTGTGAAAATTCATTTGTCTACGCCGCTTTCACACGCTACCAGGGGAATTTAGAGTCATACTGATACATACACTGTATTTTACACTATATTTTATACGAGCTTCCTTAGTCCTAGGTCTCCCTGGCCCGTGCCATGAAATTCGGTTAGATCCGAAAGCCCTATATTACATACCCTGCCGCACCGTTGATTCGGGTTTCCGGCTTGCCGAGTTGTTTCGTTTCCTTACCTTACGTGCATATTGTAGTTACAGGCTATCAGCCAGAGTCCTGTGCGTTTTACATGTACTACATTAATATGATGTAGGTACATGTACTCTAGTTTCGTTTTCTCATTTCTTTCAGCATGCGTGCACGCCAAGGGCTGGTAACGGTAGCTACATGTACCTACATGTACCTAGTAGATATAAATCACCGTCGCGAAGCAAAACCACATCAAAAAACGCACGCCGAAACTGGCACTTTTTCCAATCGCTCCAGAACCCGCCATTTTAAGATATAACTTGTACCAATTAGTTTAATATAGCTTAATTATTAGGAGAATCACTTGACAGACTTGAATTTCAAAAATATTCATTGTAGAATTAATGGTAGAGAATTTTGTTCGGTTATTTTCAGGAAATGTACTAAGGCTGCGCTGCATGCGTCAAAGCTACATAACTTCCCACACATTTGTTGAACAAACTTACGCTTTGAAATATATCTTATTCTATAGTGTATCTCCCTATCCTGAAGGTTCTGTGGTAATTGATAAATAATTGAAGGTTAGAGAGGTTGCCCATTTTGGCGTGTGTTTTGGCGCGAAGACGGTGATTTATGTCCAAGAACTATACATATACAATACCTATGAGTTGCTGGACATCTTTTCTTGGAGACGAAAGGTTTTATAGGCACGCGTATATAAAAATATATTGCATGCACATGTGCGTAGTGATGTTACTTGAATGTTATTAATTCTATAACGTTGAAGTTCACATCAAAATAACACGCAAGGTGGCTCTAAGAAATTTAAAGATATTGCTTAAATCTTGCCAAACATAAAACGTCGAGAAAGATAATATCGATATTGTCTGAGATGCAGCTGTTGCAATTCAGCCCCGGTCGAAAGGAGATGATCATGTTACAAATGGCTGGTTGCGTAAATTCATGCTTGGTAGATTTCAACCTCACCAGATCCTCACTTAATTATAAAGGCATTGAACAAAAAACAAGTAGTAAGTAGAGTCATCATGGTGAAATTCTGTAGACTCATTGGATATCATGAAACTCTCCCGCTTGTCAAGAGTATTGTATGAGGTGAGTAAAAGTAAGGCAACATTGATTGATCATGACCTTAATCATATGGGATGGCATTTCAATCTGGACTGGTTCAGTATCCCAATCCGCAAGTTTCCAAGCGTTTTCCCTTACTCTACACTAAGCATCAGTTGTTGATTGCCTTTTAACGACTTTCTTCAACTCTTTATCGACCAACCCTTAGTTGCACCTCCATTACCCCTCTCATTCTATCTCCGCTAGTCAGGCAGGCACGTGGAAATTCTTCTTCAGCTTGTTCTTAAAGCTGTGCATTTGTTGCTACACTTCTTACTAAGGGTGTGGCGAGCCGAACGTACCTCTGTTCTTTTTCCCAATACAGGGGAGGTCTTGTCTGGGCAACACAGCTTCCCAGACCACATCTATCTTTCTCTACCCAAAAGAACCTACATGCACTCATAGAAAAGTATCTGCCAACCGCCTGGAGAGCATTGATTCCACTTTTCTCTTGAAGGTCTTGAGAGCTAAGGAAAGTACACGGCCGATATTTCTTTATTTTCTTTGGGCGCCGGAAAAACCGGAGGAGGGCTGTCTAGATCAAATCAATCAACCTCCGCGCATCGCCAGTAATCTTCCCATCCATCATCCCTTCGATCCAGAGCCCTCTTGCAACACAACCTGCCTGACTGAACCTGGCCTACCTCTCAACTCCATCTGTCTCGACTGATACCATATCTAATCAAGCCTTTTTATTTTACCGGTAATTAATCCTTCTTTCTATATTCATTCTACTTTGTGCGTCTTTTGATAAACGCGGCCGTTTCCTCGTACACTTCCGTTTTTCGTTTTTTTACATCCCCGAACGATTGGCTTGGGGGTGTAGGTCATCATTCACACGTTTTTTTTTTTGCGCCTTTCTATCCATCAGCCTCGACTCACTGCGCTTCATTACACTGCACTGAGAAAAGGTCTGATTGATAAAAAGTCAGTAGAATCTTTTTTTAAATACGCTCTACTATTTCTATTTGAATTATCATCTCCGAAAACCAAGAGCTAATAATACCTTCACGAGTTTATAGAAGTACCTCCTGTTTGCAGGGTGCTTATATTTGATCAACCTCTCTGATCTCTCTGTCTGTCTAACAACCCATCTCGGAAATCTGTAAGTGCCACAACCCCCCCCCCCCCCCCCAACCATCACCCTTCTTGCCTTTCCCTGCCTTGTCTCTCTTTCACAACACGTTGTTGCTATTTCTGTTTGTGGAAGAATCGTTTTTCCTTTTAAAAATTTGTATCAGTCTTGATACCCCTGTCGCTTAATCCCATTATTGCCTCTAACCTAACCTACCTACCCCCCCCCCCCCCCCTTTCTTCTTTTCCTTACATAAACACCTTTCGTCGTCGTCATCGACAACCCATCATCTACTTGAACAATATACATCATATATATCTTATAACTATTACTTCATTTTAACTGGCTAATAATTTATAGCAACTTTTATTCGTAATAATCTTTTTTGTTGTGTGTGTGTTGTGGTTGCTCTTAGTACACCACCAACCAACATCAATCATCATGAGGGGCCGAAGAGGTCAACGTGGTGGTCGAGGTCGAGGACGCGTTCGTGGGCAATCTTATCCACAACGTAGACTCACTGATCAAGGCTCAGAAGAGAATAACAATGAGGACTCATCGAGGCCTCCTACACCTCAACCGCAAGATGGTGAGCCTGAGGAAATAGAAGTAGATGAGGATGAGGTTTCACCTGCTCCTACTGTCCCTACTCCTCCGGCTCCAAGAACATTGGCCCGCCTTCCTTCAATGCCATTGCAGGTTAGTTTGCGCGCCAGGAAGGGCTTACACAGTAGTCCTGCCGATAGTGAATTGGCAAAGGAGAACAGCAATTTGAACACTACTGCTGTTGCTATAGCTGCTGAGACACCTAATACTCCTACTACGATGGAGACTTCAGGCCACGATGGATCTTCTTCGGAGGTTGAGGATCGACAGCCAAAGAGAAGAAGGATTCTTGAAAATGGATCAGCTAATGCAGCTCCTCCTACATCGGATGCTGCACCTACCACCCCCACAAGGGGGAGAGGTAGGGGTCGGGGAAGAGCCCGGGGAAGAGCTCGTGCAGAAGTCGGTAGGCCCAGAGGTAGTAGAGGTAGAGGCCGAGGAAGAGGGTCACGTGGTGGCCCCGGCTCAAGGGGTGGAAGAGGTGCATATCGCACACGGGGAAGAGGACGAGGCGGCCGAGGCGGCAGCGTCCCAGTCAGGACTGTGGCAGAGGGGCCTGTAGTAGAGGCCGCATTGATGAGGGTTCCAGAAAAAGAGGAGAAAGAACAAGACACTACGTCGGCAACCGAGTGGTATTCTGGTGTCACAGGCACTTCTTATCGTAATCCATTACACAGCAAGCTAGATGCACTTCGGGAAAAGAAGATTAAGCTTGCTGCCGACTTGGCACCACTGGAAGATCTCAAAAAACGCAACTCTGATATAAAGGATCGATTTAAAGTTATTGCAAAACTAATAGTTACTCGCCATCAGACTCGTGCAAGCAAAACTTTGAAGGAATTGAAGACAGGTCGGGACGTTACCAGTCAGGCGCCATGGGCTAAGGAGATCTATGGCACGTTGGATGATAGGCTCGAGACACACTTGAGCTATCTAGATGGCGAAAAGGAGTTTAAACAGATCAACGGGGTACAAGTTTTTCAAAACAGCTGTAAAATCGTACAACGATCTTTTGAGGTAGGCATTTTTCTACTATATTTTACTTGGTGTATAAAAAGATTTATGTAGTTTTTTTAACCCTTATTTTTTCTAGATATCGATGGGCGAGTGGATGGATCGCTGTGTCGTGGCATTCATCCGAGAGAAGCGTGACATCTCTGAGCTTTGGAAAGTCAGAGATCCATATCTCAATCAATGGATCCTCCGCAGATGTGGAATAAACAGGACCGAGAATGTTACGATGACCGATTTGATCGAAACATTTATGCATCGTGAAGGCCGCGATCGTTGTAGATATGATCGACCGCAATTGGCCACTCGGACTAACGAAGGTCTATTCGACCGCAAGGTCAGTGAGACATGCACTGCAAGAGCGAGAAGAATATTTGGCGAGTGCATTAGAGTTGAAAAGGCCTCACTTATGACACCCCCTCAATCGCCAGGATTAGAAGCAAATAACACAGATGATATGGAGATTGATAGTCAAATATTGGATGAACTTTTGTCGAATCAATCAATCTACGATCGTCTTCGAGATAACGACAAGTCAGGAGTCGGAAAACTTGATTTTGTTCTTGACCGTGAGTCTTCTCGATTAGTATATCTCATAAAAGATTGTTTACCTAACACCACGTGTTTAGACAAATATGACCCTAAAAACCCTGCCCAGGTTCTCCCACCAAGGAGATACACCACTCGCGAAGCCATGGCTGTTGACAGCTTAGTTCGCTTGAAGGAGGGCATAGAACTTGATTCAGAGGACGAGTTCGATAAATATTCTGAAGGGGACTACTACTACGATGATGAGGATGAAATTATGTCTGTAGACAAGGATCTACCTAACGAGAAAAGTCCTGATCAGAGTGGTTCGGGAAAGGACCATGAAAACAGAGAGCTTGTTGATCGAGAAAGTGAAATGTGGGATTTTGTTCCTTCCAATCTTCACCGGAACAGCGGGGAGGGGCGGGAATCCTCGGTGGAGTCTGAGAGGGAAGAGGTCATAGTGCCAAGCCCCAATTATCTTGCCGAACCTAAGACTTCAGGCATTGAACCTTCTCGAGAGAGATCGCCATCATCTGGCCCTCTCACATCTAAGCATTTTGATTTCGTATTGACCCCTGATGCATCATCTCAAGATCCTGTGTCTTATCCAGCTAGGGCCATGGAAGATGGGGAGGTACAAATGCTGGGCACCAGTGCTGATCTTCCCCAAAAGGCAAACGGTAGGTTCATCTTACCTTATAATTCGTAGTTATGATATCAAGAAATTGACAACCTTTTTCTCAAAGGTCATTCAAACGATAAATTAACCCCATCAGTACCCGGAAATGGAACCTTGATCAAGGCTGTAGGTTCACCACAAAAACGCCTTCGCGATGGATCCGAAAAAGTACAACAAGATTCTAGCAAAGAAAATCTTCGGCCCAAGCTTCCAGATAACCCGAAACCTCCAAACGACAGACTAGAAACCGTAAAACCACTCAAAAGGCCGCCTTATGATGCTATCTATCCAGGGGTTTCTACTGGTGCTAGACATCCATTTTTGACCGATAGAAATTTTGACAAACCGATAAAAGGAAATAATGTGGTCACCGTGAACCATAGTCCGCAAAAGAATGCACAGAAACTCTTTGCTGATCCACCTGGATTCACCCCCGTCCTGATGTCTTCATCTTCTTCAAATGGTGCCTCCGGAGCAGCAGGTAACCGACCAGGTCCTAGTGCTACTTTTAGAGCAAGAGGGACTTCACGCAAAGAACCTGGTAGACCGGGTCGAAAGCCCAACAACCCCTCCACCCCGTTATCGTATGTGCAGCCCGAATATCCTTTACAGGGCAAAGGTCGTATTCTTTCACCAAAGCCGCCCCAAACACCAACTCAGATGGGTTATCCTCCGACTGGATACCCTGCGTCAAAGTTTACAATACAGTCTAATTCTACCGTTCAACCCCCGTATCTAAAGCCATATACTGCCGCCACGACGCCTTCCCCCCTGAGGAGTCAGTCAAGGCCCCCATATGATCCCCGCGATAGTCCCAATCCCACATGGGCCGGGTCTTCTTATCCTTATACGAGCCCAGTTCAATCTTCATCTCCATACGCACCGTCTGGCGAGTATAGTTATGACCCCTCGCGTTCATCAGTGCCTCCCCAAGCTCCATACCAACCCCCTCCTCCTGTCGGATACGGTCCCTATGGCGTCCCGGGAGGGCCAGTTCGGAATACCCCGGGACCTACTGGGAATCCGTTCCAGTCTAATAACTCTACTCAAACTCCCTATAATAGCCAACCTCCTTACTTCACTCCACCAGGTTTTACTTCAACTGCACCTCTACCCCCACCATACCAGAGACAGTACCCTCCAAGTCCGAGCTGGGGGACATCACAAGCCCCAAGCACCCCGGCACATCCTCGAAATAGTTTACAGGGGAAGCACCCCTACGAGGGAAAAGCACCACAGTTATTTACTCTACCGCCTACTACCCCTACACCTGCAGGGCCGCAACAAGAACCAGTCAAGTACTATGTTGGTGATGGCGTTTATAAAACTGCACCTTCAACCATTGAGAGACTGCCTTCACTTACACTGTCGCAAGGAACAGTTTTCGAAGAGGATAACTTGTCAAAAAATTTAAACCAAATGGCCAGAGACGGCAATTGGGGCTCTGGAACTCCTGGGAGTGGAAACCCCGGCTCTTCCCAAGGGACCGCGCTCTGAATTTGGGCACGATGATCTGATTGATTAATCAAAAGAAGGGTTATAAATTTTTGGGAAGGTGTTAAGAAAGGTGGCGTGTAGAGTTTGCGAGGACCCGATCCGACAATAGCGAATCCCACACAAAATTTGGAATAGTGGTGTAATAGTGGTGTATATGATTTGGGCGATGGAGTTTTAGGGTTTCATTCCTGCGGGTCTTAGTACCTCTTGCATATTTCTTTTTTCTTTCTTTTCTACTTTCTTTTTATTTACTTACATGCCCTATCCCTGCATTTTATAACGCTCGTTCAATTCACATATATACTTAGAATGGTATCAACTTTTTACCCCGACGAGTGTCGATTTAGCTTATTATTCATTGTTAGAAGCGGTATTATCCTCGTTTTTTTTATGTTATCCACCTCCTTTTTATTATATCCTTTGTCCCCCCTCCTTAGCGGCTTAAAGCCTTTGGCTCATTCCCAGCCAAATTTTTGCTTATCATAAATAAGGGACTTTCTTTTGTCACAATGAAGCCTTAAATGCGCAAAGGAACGAGGAACCGGAACCGAATCGCCGTCATTGCCGTTTCACTAGTTATATTTTTATAAACAAAAAATTCACATGTAAATTCGAGGTAGTTTATTATATTAATATTCAGTTTTCTAGTTTTAAATGTGCAAGGCAAAACACTGGAGACATAGTTATAATAATCCACGTCCTTTGTCTAACCAGATTGTTCATTCTGGTAATTTTGCCAAGACGAGTGACGCCTGGTGAACAAAGGGTTTCCCGGCTGTTGAAGGCCTTATAATTAGTAACAACCACATCGATCATGCAGCGCTGCGCGCAATATCATATTTATACAAGCGGAGTGCGGCCTCCGGCCGCCCAAGTGTAGTGAGGAAATGAAGGTGCGGGCGGTATTGCGATAGTAATTTCTTAGATTATTGCTGCCATTCTGAATTATTGGGTACAGGCACGCGCACGCACTAAACCTCATCTCCATCTCTCCTTATAGGTAATCTGCGATTTATTAGCTCTAGTATGCACTCTAAGTCATTCAATGAGTAGCTTTAGTATGTACATGTAGTTCATGATAAAATGCTATCAGGGAAGTTCGACCTGGATATATAAAAATATAGCTGTAGTTCTGTCAGTGTTTGTTCTTTTATATCCATCAAATTGCAATAGCTACACGCCTTTTAATGCCAGTTCCCTTCCATCTCGGGAGTAGGTCTTTGTCTACTTGTGTAATATGCAACCAATATTAGAAATAGCTATAGTACGCAACCATTAGAAAACGTTCCTAGTGACGATGAGGAAGACTATATAGTTTAGACGTGATGATTATGAAATATTCATAACTAGAAGGGCCAGTCAAGATTATTCATACAACATGCAGTGCAACTTCTAGCCTACTAAAGTTATACACGCAAATTGCAAAATCATCTATATATGATCATGAGATTAATAAGTAAAACTTTACCATAGCTATATATATATATATCTACCACCGGTGCTTAGCGGCTATTAACAGACGCATATCGATCAGTATCATCCCCCCCCCCCCCCTTTCCCCGGGTCAGCTCGAAGCCATCAAGCACGTCTTGGTGAATAGATTTCATATGGATTTGCCTCAATATCCCAAGGATTTTCATATAGTGATCGCACTAAAATTTCGCAAGTTCCCCACCCAGATCATTCTGCTTAGTCTAGGAATAGCAATAATCTTCCAGGCTTTCTTGGAACTCGAAAATAGTTAATAAGTCTCTTTCTCTCACAAACCAATGTTTTCCGTCAGAAAGACGCCTCTAAATATGGACTGCCAGTCCTTCAACCTTGGGGATATCAAAATCGCAAACACCATAAAGATTATGATTTCTATTGAAGAGCTCGTGCTTGTCTCAGTCGTTGATATAAGCAATATTGTCACTACAATTACATTGATGACAGCAAATTTCCATATCAGGTTCATCTCGGTCTTCCTCTAGTAGGTTTCTCCAGTGGAAAGGGCCCTCTAGTATGTGGTGCTTAAGAAACCGTATGATTGAAACATTATACAGCAGCAGCAGCTGCGGTGCAAATTAAAATTCATGCGACTTTGAGGTATTATGCTAGTGTATAATATGCTTTTTTGTCTCTGTTACCCATAGTCTCGCTGATGGTGTATATAATACTCCCAGTTTCCGAAGTAGCTATTACATTTCCAGCAGGCTCTGTTCGGCGGCTTGGTTGTTGGGGAACATAAGTTTCGAGGAGAGCAGTTTAGCACCCGCTGGTTCTCCGCTATATTTGCGATCGAACCACACCCTTGAACGATCGAAAGAAGGCTATCGTCTTACACAATTTTAGCGGATGATCCACTGTTTGTCGATTTCTAAGAATAATACTCTTTTCCGATGGATTGTATATACGAATCTTGATGACCATTGGCGTAGTTTAAGAGGTGTACTTTGCGGTTATGTTGACTTTTCCTTTGAGTAAAAGATTCAAGATTTAAGTTGACAAGGCAGACCTGCAAGAGGTGGGATGCGCAGTAGATTTTACAACCTATGTCTATGTTGCATATTCCATATTGTGGTTTCTCCGTATTTAATTGCTCGGAAATATGAGTCCAAAATCATCCAAGCATATAGACTGGAACAGAGCTGGCAAACACAACTTTCAGTAAGGTAATCATCGCTTCACCAAAAACAATATGATATCAAATCTCGGCCGCTGTATTGACCATCTGTATTTATTTATTTCATGAGCTTTAACCGCCGTCTATTCTATCTCTTTGAAAAGAATAAGTTGGTCGCAGCACAATGTGCACTCAGAGTATTACTCTTCTACTTCCATCTCCTCATCATCTCCACCCTCGACCATACTTTCCTTAGCCAGCCTCTCGGCTTCAGCGACCAGCTCTTTTGGAACCTCTTCGTGTTTTCCCCATCCCTTTACTATACCCTCGCCTGATTCAGCGGTAACAAGTTTTTCATGTCTGACCCATGTCATTTCAAGTTCAAAATCTTTATCTTTGGAATTATCGTCGTGCGCAAAGTATATGATTCGGGCGGCATGCTTGACGGCCTCTTTAACGGTGATGTTGGGCAAAGGTAGCTTCTCGAGCTCGGCTTTGGCAGCCTGACGACCACGACCAGTAGCAGCACCAAAGTAGCCCTGTATTAAGAGTTTTAGTAAATAACGAGAGCTCTTTGTCTATCTTTTTGAAGGAATCTTTAGAGCGAGCTGCATACCCAACCGACACCGCTTGGCTCAACCATCCACAAACCCGGGCCACCTTCCTCGTCCATCCCTGCAATGATTGCAGTGACTCCAAATGGTCTCACACTAGAATAGAGAGTGTATGCCTGGGCATACCCGCCCATCCTGTCCGCCAAACTGGAAACTGGGATCGGGGTGTGATAGAACTTTCGCCAGGATGCAGCCTCACTACGGGCGCGGGAGGTAAAATGACGAGCATCGGGGATAAGACCGGAACATGCCTAAAAACAGGACCGGTAACGGTCAATTTATCTGCTGTTGGTAGTACTGAGAAGAGTGCGCTCTGGGGGGTGAGATTTACGAGTCCAACATGTCTATCGACCGTAGCAATTCTTTTGTTACTTCCTGGGACCAAAAGCTTGCTCCCAATCAGCTTTTCGACTGCAAGGACGACGCCATCTTTGCACCGTATTCCGATGGCGGTTCCGCCGTTCTCGACAGCTTTAGTAGCATATTCTACCTAGACATTGACCAAACTCTAATCAGCGAGGAACTCTCATCTGGTCAAAGACTCGAGAAAAAACACAGAGAGAGAGAAAGCCACTAACTAACCTGAAAATTTCTTCCATCGGGACTGAAGACGGAATTTGAAAGATCGTATCCTGTTCCGATCGATGTCTAAGCCGAAGCCTCAATCAGCAACCACCCCGCAACGACCCCACAATCCATCCTGAAACATTCGGTAAACAAAGTTGGGGGAGTAGCTACCATGACGGACAGAAGTTCTGGTTACCGGTGGATGGATGGAAGATGATGATGATGATGATAGTAGTTTGTTGGGATTTGGTTTTAATTTGTGGTGCTCGATATTCTCTATGGCATCAGACAGCAGGAGGGGAGAGGTAAGAGCTGCACGCGTTACGCTAAGCGATCCTAGGAAGCGGCTCCCAGGGCTCAGGGCAATACGGTCCGGGTAATGATACTCGTTCTACGACCAAACCTTAAGGTTGAGTCAACCAAACCATGCCTCCTCCATCAGCCCTCGCTATTAAAACATCCTCTGTTATCCGACTCGTAAAAGAGGAGGCTTCTTATCATAAAGAAGCTGCTCAGCAGAAAGCTCAAGTCGAAAAGCTCGAAGCAGACGGCGCTGACGAATATGAGCTGAGGCAACCGGTTCGTCTTTCTTCAAGTTCTGGAGACAGCTCTTTACACGTATTGACTCTTTGAATATAGAAAAAAGCTCTTGAAGAAACTCTTGTGATGGCTCCTGCGGTTAGAAAGAGATTGGCTTCATCCCTTGAACTTCTTCAAATGGCTCTTGTTAGTGCTGCCATCTAGCTATCCATTTTTTAAAGTCTCACAATAATATCGTCTAACATAAATAAAAATAGGACGATGCATCCGAGGCCGAGACCGCCGAAGCAAAGGAGAAAGCCGCTAAAGCTCTTGAGGATGGAAGGAAGGTCCTTAAGGAATACGGCGAATATGAATAAAAGTTCTTGCAATACAGTATGTTCCAGGGAATTTCTGGAGCTAATAAAATGTTGTATTACGATACCATAGAGCTAAATGTGTAATCCGAATACTAGATGTTTACACCTCTATAGTCACCTGGAGCTTTGATTGATTTGTAATTGCCGTGGAAATAGCTTCACACTGTGATCTTCATTTCATTCAATTGTAAACAGTATGAATATTCCTGGAGCATCATGGTAAGCTTAAGGATAAATCAAAAAGCTCAGATTTACGTTAAATACGATCGAGTGATCATCAATGATTGGTTTCAGACTTTCTCTCACATCTATTTC